ACCAGAACATTGATGGCATTATTCTTAAAGGATGTAGATGCTTAAGTGTTTTTCCATCTCTTGTTGGAAACAGAACTTGTAATTTCCTTGGGTTTTTAATAGAAATGAGGGAGAAAATAATCTGTTTATATTTTTTACTGAAGACAGTATTTTTAAGACACTTTTATAGTATGTGAACATAAATGGCATCTGGCTGCTATTCACTGTTTTTGATAATCCTTCTTGCCTTGAGTTTGGGTTTTATTGGACAGGAAGTGCTGCAGCAAGAAAACTACAGCCTGGAAGAGCAGACAAAGTAGTGAAAAAGCACTGTGACGTCCCCTGGAGACCTGGTTTTGAAAGGAATCCTTTTCTTGGAGGACAGTAGGTGTTTTCAGCCCTTGTGTATAGATCATCACCAAGGGTGTGATCTCCAGCCCCCCCTTCCCAAGTATTTCCTTAAACTGGGGTTTGTGGTAGGGACTGCTGGTGGCTAGCAGAGTATGATTAGGTGCTCAATAGCTGTCTCATGGGATTTTTTTTTTTTTTGCCCCCTGTAGCAGTGAGGATATTATTTCCTTTTGTCTAGGAGTGTTCTATTAGTGCAGGGTTTTTTTTCAGAAAGCAAATACTGTGTTATGTAGGAACAACAGCTGGACAAAGTGAATCCCAGGGCTTTTTAGCTTGCTAATTAACTTACCTCTTCCTTGTATAAGGTGAGAAAAGGTAACATCTTGGAGTCGGTGATTTAAGAAAAAACACAAACAAACAGACCTAATGAGGTAGAACTGTGGCTTCTGTTAAAATACATCTGCTACAGAGAGAGAAACCATAGAAGAACATCAGTGTCTGAACTGTATCAAGATTTTTTCTTGACTTGGTTACTAAGCACCGCATTGAAAGATTTGGCATGTTCCATCTGTGTGCCTTATTTTAGGTTTTTTTTCTGATGTGCTTGCAGCAGAGGGTCACTAGGAGTAGGCATGCTGTCTATGCAGCAAGGACATGGTAATGCAAATTGAAATAGCAAGTACACTGTATCTTAACCATACCTGCTCCCTGAGGCTGAGTATCATGTGACATTTTGCTGCAGATCTCATTTGAAGTTGTTGTTTGTCCTAATAAACTTGTTTAAGTAAGTAAGTAAGTGTCCTGTTTTGTGTTCAAGCTGTTGATATATAACCTCTTTGTACTGGGGTGAAGTACAAAAACGTGCCTTGCCACAAAGCACGGGGCAGAAAAAGTATAGTGATCTCTCCTGTCGGGCCTGCTGCTGCTTTGCTTACACTGAAATATAACTATTTTGTTATATAAGGGGGGATGGTGGAAGGGGGAAGAAGCTGGAATCCATGATGGTTAAAAGGTGCTCTTGGCTCTGGAACTGACTTTATTTGGGTATTCTAAAACTGTTTGCATAGATACCATGGCCACAGCTGTTTTCATGAAATCAACATACCTGAATTATCTTTCTCTAATACAGCATGCTTGGAAATTTTTATTTAAAAGGTAACCAAGCCCCAGGAGCAGTTTGCTATGTCCAGAGAGCATAGTTGTGCCCTGTGGGGCAGAAGGCAGGCAGTTCTCCAGTGGGAAGCAGCAGGTAAGGAACACCTCTGTTTCCATGTTCTTATGTCTCAGTGCAGTTACTTTAGTTCCTGGGCATCTCATGGTGCTCAGCCTTGGTTGCTCTGTAAAGCCAGACACCAGCTTCGTAACTAAACCTTAGGAACAATTGCACAGCACGCTGTTTTCTGCCTAGGGATGCTCAGCAGTGGGACTGCTCTCAGGAGGAAGCATGACTCCCTGCAGTCCCACTGGGGTGTTAGACTCCTTGCTGTGTGAGTGCTTCAAGCATTGTACCTGTTCCCTGTGCGCTGCCTCTAGCTGTAGTGCCAGAGGTGCTGCAAGGAGGAGAGCAGTAGGGAGAAGAGAGCTCACAGCAAGCTAAGTCAGAGCATGTGGCCTGCCTTCTGTCAGTCTTTCCTACTGCGAACTCTCAACTCTTAAAAGAAAATGAGGAAAAATGGCATTCTGTTAACTTCCTTCTGGATGTGCAGGTCAGAGGAGTTGTGTCACTGGACTCGGGAAGAAGCTTCAGCCAGTGCCTCGTTTCAAAAGAAAACAAAAAAAGCCCTTTGCTTGGACAAGGTACTGTGTCACAGAAACCAAATTTAAGCAGTGACTGGCTTCTTGAATTTGTGCCACAAATTCGTGTTCCATGCATGTTCCTCGTCAGGTAAGTAGGAGACCTACATCCTTTATCATAAGCTAGCCTTTGTTATTTCTCCACCCAGCATAGTTCTATAGATGGGTATCTTAGCTGGAGCAAAATAACGTGGGCACATTTTCTTGTGTAGAAAATACCATTTATTGTGGATATGAAAATAGCAATCTTGATTAAGAGCAGAGATGCAACAGTAGGTGGTACAATACAATTGGTTTGATCATCTACTGCTCAGCAGTAACTTACAGGAAGTTGGATTTTGCCTGTTGTAGATTAACAAATTAGGTATCTGCTGGGTTTTTATTTCTTCCTTCCAAACAAACCAATGCCATACATTAACAGGTACCATAAAATGTTATATTTGCAAAAGAAAACATTTATATAAATAGGCTTTTTAGTATCAATTGAAGGTTGTATTAAAAAAAAAGTTACATTAATTCAATACCGATAAAAATAAAACTTAGCTTTGATAGCATATAAAACGCTTCAAAACAAGCATATATAAATAACTTAATTTGTAAACATAGAAAAAAATCTTATGCATATATAAAAATAAACATCTGATGCACTGTACAATAAGACATTATCCTTCATAGGCACTGGTATCATTGATCAACAGGAGTCCCCCTAGATGTTTTTCCTACAAAAACTGCTTTATCACTAGTGCCATGTCCAAAATAAAAGGGAAAAAAAGTGAAGCACTGAGCAAATCTTTTGTGGATTGTATTAAGACCTCCCCTACCTCCTCTGGAAATCCATGGAAGCAGCACTGGGGACAAAGCCAATGCACTGTGCTGCTGTTTCTGCTAATTTTTTTTCTAGGGCTTTGGTGTACTACCTTGTTCACTCTCCCTTTCTTGGTTCCCACCAAAAGGTGGGGACTGTATGACAGGTTGCAAATCTGTCTTTTCGCTCGGTTGCAGAAAACTTTGTGATGGGTTGCCCCATTTCCCTTGAGGGGCTATGGAAGATGTGTGATGCATGAAGTGAGTGAACCGTGCTATGACTCAGTTTGGCAGGCTTTTAAGAAAAGGCTGAGCCTCGCCAAAAGAAAGAGAACGGTAATATATATTAGTGTTAAGATTGTAACCATGACCATCTAAAGATAAAATGAAGCAAATTTGTAAGTAAATGAAAAGTTTTGTTATCCTACCTGGTATAGTTTAGGGGGTGGAAAAAAAGCCTTGGGCTGGTATGTCTCAAACCTGCACTTTTCTTAAATATTATTTTTTATTTTAAAACTTAATATATTAATAACAGGAAGTAACATAGAAGCTGAGAGCCAAAATTACACCTGTGCAAAGACATAGTAAAAGTAGATCTTGGCTCTTGAATTCAAAGGTGGGAAGTGCAGCTAATGTCACGTATGCTGGGAAAATGCATCTTTTACTGAAAGTAACTGTGTGTATAAAGTAGCAGATGCTGACTCTGGTAAGGTGGATGCTTGAATACACATCTCTCACTTGACAAATTTAAAGTGCAACAGCTTCTTGAACAATGTGGGCTTTTTTGAGCTAAAGAAAGCATATCGTAGCAGCTTTTATTGCTTAGATGATAAGGTTATCTAAAGTGATTCTTTACTGTTGTGCTAAAGAACTAAATGATTGAGTTGGTTGTGTTTTTGTTTAATTTTAGGAATGTGTGACTGAACTAGGGAGTGTGTCGAACAAATATGTAAAGCCTGACAGCAGGATGGACTAAGTTCAACAGAAATACTATGAGGTAACTGAATGGGAAGAGTCTGTATTCGCTGCAGTGAGACAGCTGGTCAGGTTATGAACAAAGAGGTGTGACAAGCCTATGACCGGGCTAGATTTTCAACTCTTAATGCATTTGGGTAAAAGTGTAGGAGGGCTGACGAGAAAAGCCACTGCGGAAAAATGCTGGAGCTACTCTTATTCGCAGGATTTAAATTGTAGAAACAAGCTGATTACTCAGTACTACTCCCTATTAATGACAAAGTGTCACTGTTTACAACTGTCAGTTTGGTTTCTTTATTTCAAAGCACCTAATTCTGCAGTGCAGTAAAACTGTGTCCTGAGGTGTGGTGGTTTCCACTAATGCTGCATAGTGTAGTGGCAATCTGAAATACCTTATACCGGCTGCAAGTAGTCAGCCAATTACATGAGAAAAAAAAAAATCTATCCAGGGTGTAGGATGACTAGTGGATATCGTGCTGGTTTAACTTCCCTGCTCAAGGGGAAGTATAGCCAGCTAGCTAAGTTAAATGATTTATCTACACTGTTAGGAATTCTGCCTTTGATACTTATCTCAACATTAGAAAGTGACTTTGCAGCTCTACTCAAGAGCTTGTAAAAGGTCTCAAGCCATACGTGTACTGTTCATTTGCAGTGCATTTCACTGCTTCCATTACCTTTTTCTCACTGCTGCCTAAACTTTTTGAAAGAAGTTGATCTTTGAAGCTCCTTGGAAACAGAAATTAAATAATACACTTCTGCATGTAAGATGCTGGCTATTGTAAAGCAAAGTCTCTTCTTCTGCTCTTTATAGAGCCAGCACACCTTCCTGTTGGTCCATGGAGGTTTTCTACAGCTGTTTCCAGGAGGACAGGATCCCCATAAAACTTGCTGGGTTTCTTCTAAGCAGTGTTGGCTAAAATAAATGATCCTTTTTTCTAACTATACTTTTCTATAGTCCAACATTAGCAGTTAGGCTCCTCAAGTGAGGCTTGATTGTGACTGTCGTAGGAGCCAGCATTTTACATTACCCTTTCAGATGCTTGTGTCTCTCTCTGAACTTTCAGCTGCTGTTAAGTGTCCAGTTTTGTACCCAAACACTAACTAGCAAGAAAGTGTGCCAGTCGAGCAATCACCAGAGGCTGTCGCTTAGCAATGGAGCTCAGGAGCCTCGCAGGGATAGCCGGGGCACCAAGATCCACCTGCAGGAATTAGAAGAAAGGCTGCATGTTGGGGTTTGTACCTGTTGCAAGTAGGTGTTAAGCACAAAAGTAGTTTACACCCAAATGCTATTGTTACTGTGTGGTTTGTATCTTTTCCTTCCCAATACTCCATAGACATTCAAAGCATTGCTATTTGAAGTTCCTTTCAGCAGGTATGACCCACGCTGCTTTTGAGTTTGAGCTTAAACACTACTCGTTTGAGACAGATACAGTGTTACTGAAAAAGTACATGCATATACTAACGTGCACTATAAAATGCATATAAAATTTTAAAATGCGTATACATTACACATATGCACTGTAAAATGCATATAGTAATTCCTATAATTTAAAGATAATATTTTTTTTTATATAATAAGTTGAAAAGACTAATGCCATTTAGCTCTCAGATGAGCACTTTAAAATAAATTATACACACATTATGGTATTCTCTTCTGGACATTAAGTATTTGGTACCACTGTCTCAAAGAGACCCTACTTTTCAGATGAGACTGTAATAAATGGATGGCAGGATTTTCTTATTCTTAACTGGAATCCTAATCTTGACTTCTCTTTCTGACTGAAGTCATTAATTCTTCATACTTAACAGATACAAAAGACTTAACAATACCTATTTCCATGCATTTTGAAAATAGTATAACCTGAGGCAGACTTCCTGTGTCCATGGCAAGGTGAAAATGCAAACAAGACTCTCCATACTGGCTCACCATGTGAAAACACAGCATATAATAAAATTGCTAATAAACCTTTACAGAAGAGTCTTGGTATCCAAGGGAGCAGCTTTAGATGCTGGAAAAACTTGGGATCATGTGCTTAAGCACAGTCCTAGTAAGATTCTCTCTGCATGTACATCATGCTAGATAACAGTGTGAAGTGGAGGTGACCTCTATGGTCACTTTGTAAATGCCACAGAGCACAGCCTAAGGATTATAGTTTTTGTTACTTACTGGCTCTTAAATGTTGTTATGTGTTTGCATAATTTTTGCATTCACTGTTGGACATAGAGCAAAATCTTACCTGTGCCATGTAAATAACTCTGGTGATATCTCTTCCATTCACTACATCAGGTTCCAGTATCCAAGCACTTGGCAAAATCTCCCCTCTCACCACTTCTTTACAAGGGTGAGGCATGGATGCATCGTAGACAGACTGAATAGCCAAGACAGACAAGTTCTCCTGCAAAGTGTAAAGACGACAACTTGAAAAAATGTTTATGCATACAGTAATGTTTTCTTTGTTTGCTATGAGGCATATTTCTCGTATTACTTAAAAAGGTCTTTTAATAAGAAACTATTTCTTATTTATTGAGTAATTTTTTTTGTCATTATCTTGCATGTTTGTAACCAGAATATACTGTGTAACGCTTGTGTTACTGCCTAATGGGACTTGGTTGACAACTGTCATTCACAAGAGGGTTTTATACATAATTGACTTGTGTCATGTCAGCGTGGCTGTTCTTCCTCTTACACTGTCACTTCTGGAAATATGAGCCTGGACTTCCCTTACTTCTCTCTTTTGTCCTTGAACCATGAGTTCAGAACAATTACTCCTCTGTGCTTCAGAGAGAATGTTCACTTTACCTCTTTGGCTTCTACAGTAATGCAGCAGAAATCGCGGGGCTGCTTTAGGTAACAGAGAGAGGTATCGGTCACGAAATATACTGTGGAAAAACACCCAAAAACAAAAAACAGGGAATTAGACTTTGACAACTTGAACTTATCACAATTTTCCCCCAGCCCTTAAATCCACGTGAATATTTTATTTTGACTTCTTGTTGCCTAAGAGCAAAGCTCTGGTTAAGATGCTATAATGTGTCATTAAGATGCTTTTTTGAGCCACATAAAATTAATTTTGACTTTCAAACCACTGTCTCTAGCTGTACTTCTGCAGCGAGATGTGTTTAATATGATCCTTACTTTGGAAAAGTCTTGCAAAACTGAAGTTCCCATATTAAATAATGAAATTGTTTATTCAGACCTGAAGAAATGAAATAAGATGCCTCTAAATTTCTTCCTGGCTGACAACCTGAGCTGAGAAAGTACAAAATGATAATAGTGGCCAGTCATTTGTGTTGATACTCACCCAGCTGAATATGGCTGGTTACCTTCTTGTGTATTCGAGCTGTGTTGATAGTTCTGTCGTACAGATGCCTTTTGCCAGGATCTCTCACTAGTCCCCACACGTAGGGAAGAGGCCTCTCTATCACTCCTGCTCCCAGAAACCCGTGCCTTGTTGCTGAAGGGAAGACTTTGTAGTAAACCAGCACCTCTTTTTCTGTACATTGATATCTGTCAAAGACAAATGAAAGGTATTGGCACACAAGAGGGCCAAGTACATAAAAAGGCCTCCCATTACAATGACCTGCCATAAACTTACTTCCAACCAGCTGCTGCTTGGCATGTGTAGAGATTCCTCAGGTTATGAGAGCATGCTGCCATTACCTTAGAAAACAATGACAAATGTACAGGTAAGAGAAAGTTGTATAAGCTATAAATTGTGTTCAGCTTTTACATGCTGCTACACTATCTTCTACTCAAAACTACTAAGCTGGCTTTACCACAAATAGTTTTACAGTGAGTATCAACAGCCAGACTTGCCTGTCGTATTCTCTGCTAAAGGAGTGTACATATATAAATATATATAAAAGCCTGTACAGTAGCCTAAACTATTGTGAGAAAATGGAAGATGGGGGGAGTGTGTATTCTACCTGATCTGAAATAAGAAGTTGGCATGCTTTCTAACTACACGCTCACATCTTGTCCTACACCGATATGTAAAACCTGTGCTGTAGGAATTCTTGGACACTGAAGGTGTTCAGCAGTTTGATCAGCTTCACTCAAACCTTACAGCTAACATGCAACAGTCACTGCTGCAGCCTGGCTCACTTTCCCCTGCCATTTAAAATTGCTCAGTGTGTCTCTCTCTAACGGACAAATAGGTAACTGACAAATTGGCAGCCTACAACAAGAAGGCTTGTCGCACCTGTTTTTGCTACAACTTCCAGTAGGAGGTATAGGAATAAGTGAAAACTGTGCTTATTTACTTACCTCAGTGGTAGCATTAGCCAGGATATGTTTGGATAAATCCTGGTATCCTTTTGTTGAAGAGGAACTGACAGAAATAGTTAATCCATGAGTAAACCTACAGCTGATGCTACTAGAAGGAAGGGGTGGCTGAATTCTGCTGGCTTCTGCAGGAAACAAAAAAGCCATAGGGGAATAAAAAAAAATAAAAAGGAAATCCACTGCTATTCTGCAGTTGTAGGGACTTAAACCCTCCATTGGAGCACCCCATCCACCTGATCCTGGTGAAGGACTAGTAACCTCCCTTGTCTAGACAATCTGTGTATTGGTAATTACACTGCAGTTACATCTTGCAATACTCAAGTTTAACTGTTATTACCACATATAAGCTAATAAAATAACCTAAAGAATAGGCAACGTCAGTCTTGAGGATAAAAGTAAGAACTTGCATGTACAATCCTATAGTCGTTGCAGTTTTAGCCCCCCATGCTTCCTTGGTTCATTGAAAGTATTATGCTCATATCCTCTCAGAACGCTGTACTTTACTGTTACCACATCAAGAGACCAACTTCAGAGGCACCAAATCACCATTTACTTTTTCAAGAAATTCTAAGCAAGCTCTCGCTACTGGTTGACAGTATTTTTCTGAAGACATATAATGGTAGGGACTTCCTCAAAATACCTAGAATCAAATTAGATTTTGTTTTGCATAAATGACAAATGTCATTAGGCTTTGGGATACAACTCAAACATAAGCAGACATATGTTTTACTTACCAAATGTTGAATCCTTCTGTAGTTGCTCTAATGCATAAAGCTGACTGTTTCTAACAGCTGAACGACCTCGTGTATCTCTTGAAAGCAAAACACTTCCAGAGGAAACCTGATTCAAGAAAGAGCAGAAGTGGGAGCTTTTGGTGTGAACTGGGAAAAATAAATTATGTTACATAACAAGTGGAATATTCGTAGCAAATCTGCCTTAGAAGGTCGGAAGCTTCTCTTTATCTAAGGTAACTACTGTGCCTTTCCCCTAGTTATGAAACAATACCTTGACTCAGAAAATTTAGCAAACCCAGTATGAGGAGCTAACACAGGTACATACTTGAAAAAGTAACTTCAGGAAAGTTCATGTTCACACACACAAACTCTTAAGTCAATGTATGCATCATTGAGGGAGGCACACTGAGAATATCAGATTCTGGTTTATCACAAGAAAAGGCTTCTTGTTTCTAAAATATTTGGCAGATGGTGGCATTACTGACAATAGTAACACTATCTGGTTTTTATCTATGAGCTTAAAAAAAAACCCACAAACCACTCAGAAAACTGTCACTGTCCTTTGCAATTACATGGTAATGCTTCCTCTACCCCATGCCACCCCTCTGTGTTCTAGTGACACAAACTTGTCCTGCTTGATAGCTGTGACAGAAAGAATACGAACCATCGCAGAAAAGGTTTTTGTTCCTACATTATTTCTCTGTTATTGTTGAAGCGTCAGGAGACACCGGTCTCACAGACGAGTTGTTTCTCACCTGTCCTTCCTGGCTGCTGAGGTTACTTGCAGTATATGTAGCAGTATTACCGCTGTTGTAACCAGATGTTGGGCCAGATGAGAGGCTGAGGCTGGAGTCTGTACACAAAGTGCTTGTACTTGCAAGAGTCTTCAGCCTTGCTTCTTCCTGTAACAGGTATCACAGCATTACAAACAAACACACACACAAAACTTACCTTGTACAACAGCTAGTCAAATCAATGATAACAGCACTGAAAGATGAAAGAGGAATAATTTAAAGAAGCCCAGTTTCTTTCAAGGCGTGTTGACAGGACAAAACTGTCAACAGCCATACAGAAAGCATTAAATAAGCAGGTTCGTTTGAAAAACTGAGATTATATAAGCCATAGAGCGAATCGCCCCGTAAAATGTGGCAGTCAGGGAAAATGCAGCTTCTGCTGTGTTGCTCTTCACATACAAGAGTCCAGGCTATCAAACCAATGCTAGGATGTTTTTAAGGGGAAAAGAAGTTTAAAAAAAGATCCCTTTCCAGTCCCATTTGTTGCTCTTTGCCTACTTCTTCAGTAGCCCGACTTAACTTGCTGGTCACATGTAGTTGTTAAAGACTGAAGATTTTACTTTAAGCAATGTGACTACTCAATGCCAGCCCAGAAGATGAAAAAAAATTACATAAGAAAATACTGAGAACTTCAAGATTATTTATACTTTCAAGAGCAGTTTTAAGTTTGGTTCTCCAACTCAGGTGAACTACGTCTACATTTCACAAGAAAAGTATGGCAGCAGATGTGGTAAGATCCAGTCACCCAGTGGAGGTGCCTTAAACAGAGGTGCCTTAAAGGGTGCAGAGCAATGAAATGAGTGTTCACCACATTTCTCACCAGATACACACCTATAAGGAGAGGAGGTCTGCAGCTACGATCGAAGCTGCATTGTCGGGCAGTGGAAAAGTTATTGTATAAAAGTATAGTCAGAACTGGGCAGAACAGACACATCCTAAGGAGGTATCATCCTTGCATCTGGGAGAAAAATGCACACACTTGAACTGTGCAAGATGGGTAACAAAGTGCAGAACAAAAAAACCCAAAACTATGGGACAAATACGCAGAAGACAACCTAAAAAGAGAAACCAAAAACCAACAACAACAAAAAAGACCTTTGTGGTTAAGTACATACTGAAATAGGCAAAACTCTTCCATAGTCTAGGCAGATACCCCACAGGATGGCTGTGTAAACTCAATCCAATGAGACAGCATTAGGAGTTTCCTGTACATAAAATGTGGCTTCAGGAAGATGTAGTTGAGAAGCACTAACAGTATCAGTTCAGTATTACTGAAAATTTTTTTTAAGCACAAATTTGCATTTAATTCTTTGGGTTTTTTTATGCTGATGTGTATCAGACAGGAGAATTACTTAGCCACGGAAAAATTTATTTTAAAAAAATGCATTGATGTGAATAATGCATAACGGTTTCCTCTGTAATGCTCACCTTCTGTAACTGAGAAAATATTTGTTCCCGTATACGCCTTTTTTCTTGCTCAGCTCTCTCCCGAAGTTTGTCCCTAGCTCGTGCAATTTCAGTTTTGGTTTCCTCTCGTGCCCGCTGGTAGTCTTGGAGCAACAGTTCAATGTCTGAAGGATGCTGAATGGTGCTTCTTTTTGGTTCTTGAACTCTGTAAGGATAGGTAAGTGGGGGAAAACACGTAAGTTTCACACTTAAGAGTCACCTGACAAAATACTAGGAGAAAATCATCTTTCAACACACAACAGGAAAATTTGCCAGAAAAGCAATTAAAACCCGCCACATTAGCCTCCAAAAAGTTTCTCTTTGCTCACTAAAGGCTGCATGGACATTAACCTGGGAAAATTATTCAGATTGCAAGCCCAGTTTATCACTGAGATTACTCTGGAGATTGCACTGGTTTCTAAGTCAGCTCTCCATATGATCTAAGGTTACCTCTTTGACATATCAGACGCAAAATAATTGTGTTGGGAAAATAACTGTCTCCTGACCTACTGCAAAGGAAGTGAAAGTCATTTTAGGGGATATGGTGGGGGATGAGAAACTCAAGTTCTAAATGGTGAAGGGTTGCAGAACTTTTTTGATATTTAACATGAAACTTAACTATTTCATGCGGCTTTTAAGTTACTGAAGAAGACAGATTGGTCTACAATGAGTCAAGACTGAATACTTGGCTGTCCCCATACATCGTACATATAAAATAATTTAGACACTTGTTAAGGACTGAAATAAACTAGACAGAAGATTTTAATGAATGTTTTCTAAAATCTGGCACATTTTTTTCCTGAAAGCACTTTCTATCCCAAAGGTGAACACTTCTGCATTGAGAAGAATTCTTCTGCCACAGAAGTCTCAGATGTAAGAACCATTAATGTGCACCCATTGTGAACACTGTTAATGTACATCAGGCAAAAAGAGAGGTTTCTAATGCCCTACCTGGTATTTTCCACCACATCTCTTCTCAGTTGTTGCAGATATTCTCGGCGTCTGCTGGGGAGATCTAGATCCCTCTGACTTGCATCCAGCGTCTGCAACACACTCAGATGCTTTTGAGGACTCAGACTTTGGCTTCTTTGGTATCTTTGCAGCCTTTTTTCTCTTTCCTTCCTCAGAGTTTCAATAGTCCTCATGTGTCTGTCAGGGAAACACGATTAGAGTGACAAAATGACACCCTCCAAAGTTCCTTTTTCTGATTTTTTTAAAACACTTAAATATTAGGTAGCTTCATAATGTAAAATTTATATGAATTTGATACCATACACTCTCCTTGCAAACACCCGTTTGGGCACATGCTGACAGATGATGCAGAAATTCTAAAACTTCACTGCTCTTATAACAGTAGGAAATGCATGAGGGACTTGGTTACTGCTTGTAATGGCCGAGAGGCAAACTGAGGACAGAGACTAATGTAACTACTGAAGTTTTTTTAGTCACAACAGCTTCCTGAATTGAGTTCTATAATCCAATCACAAGAATCTAGGATCTTGATTTGTTCGTAATTTATTTTGTATATTTATGGGGTTTTAAAATTTGGTTTTGTGTATTCACACAGCAGCATTTATTCACAGAAGCATGAATGAGATATTCCCATAAATAGGATGTATCAATTATTTTCATATTGCAATAAATCATTGAAATATATTCCCATGATCACCAGGTACACATGATCACTCTCATAGCTGCCAGAAGTTTTAGGAGTGGGGTGACACTGGATTTAAATTACACTGAATCTTACGCTTTTCCCTATTTTCTTGAAGTAACCCCAAAATGTTGTCTTAAATGCATTTTTTAAGTGTATATAAAATAAGCTTAATACTATATCTCTTCACGTGTAGTTCACTCTGTGTGACTAAGTGATTAAGTGCTCATTACTAAATGTTATTTACGGTACATGAAGTGTGTTCAAAATACTTAACACTACTTTAAGTAATTTACCTTTCATAAAGTTGCTGCTTCACTGGAATCGCCGCCAGGTCATCTGCAGTTCCGCTCTGAAGGACCCTCAGCAGGGCGTCCGTCTCCCCGATGCCGTAGTTGAGCTTTGCTTCAGTCAGTTCCACAGTGAGGGGATGCTGATGCAGATCCAGGTGAATGCCAGACATGATCTGAGCGCGCTCTCTCTGAAGCTTCTCGATCTCTCTGCTCCTGCTGTCACAAAGCTGCGATTTCCCTTCCATCTCTGTTGATTGCGTGCTTCTAGGTTTCTTTTCTGCCTGACTTCGTAAATCAGTCACACTGCCACTCAAGCTGAGTAACGAAGGAGGAGGGCTGCCCTTAACACCGCACCAGTTGCTAAATTTATTGTGTATGGGTAAGTCACGGAGACTGTAGCTCCGAGGCCTGTAAGGCTTTGCAAAAGTAGTATTTTTAACGAGAGGAATTTCAGTGTCACATTCACTTTCAGTGACAGAATCTGTATTGTCATCTTGGAAGGAAGTTTGCACATCGCTCACCTCAGAGAGTGCAGGGGGGCAGCTGTTTTCATTTTTCCAGAAGAAATCGTGAAATTGTAGAGAAGATGCTTCTACCAGAGGTTCTGAGGACACACCAGCATTTGTCTTCCTTGAACAAGTGGCACTAATTTTTTGATTAAAAAGTAAGTCAGCATTTGGAGGTGAGCAGTTATGAATCAAAGCAGTATCAGAATTACCAACATATTTTTCATGTCCAATTCCAGCTGAAGAACCTCCTCCTCCTCCCCTCGTGACATACATACAACGAAGTGAACGTGCCAGTGGACTGCAGTCTCTGAGATCACCTGTTAAAACCTCCCTGTGGCCCGACACCTCCAACATACTACTAGAGTGATACAGTCGTTTTGCACAAAAGGTGGTGTGGGTGTCAACCATGAGTCTATGCTGTTGTTCCAAGTCTTTTGAACTATCCTGTCCTAAAAGCTCTTTGGCTGCTTTCTTATTGGAGAAACTTCCAGATTTCTTTCTTATGGCCTTACGTTCTCTAGAAGCGCTAGATTCGCTGTCTGTTTCTGTCTGTGAAAAATTGTCCACATGAGGTTGCATGCTGGGCTGTGGACCTGCCCTCTGCTTTCTCTGGTTGTGAAGGGGACTCGAAACATCACCAGAATATCCAAGAGGTTCCTTAATAGGGCAGACGGACTTGCTGAAAGCAGTCTGGCTTCTGGGACTAGCACTGAGAGTAAGAATAGGGGAAGAAGCCCTATCGACTAGCAGGGTGTTTTTGTAACAAAATTTTCTTTCTGCTGGAACCTCGAGTTCACTGACACTTTTTTTATCCTGAGCGTAAGAAGCTGGAGATTGAGAGGTGCTATTAGTAGGGCTGCTAACTACAGTGCATGAAGAACCATCTTGCCCTGAACTCAGCGAAGACGATGTGACAGGTGAAACCCTGGTGCTAGCAAAAGCAACATTCTGCTGTGCATTTAATGATGTTTTCTGAAAATCTAAGATAGGAGTGGACGTTCTGGGTAAGAGAGGCAGATGCATAAAGGAGTCTTCCAAAATGCTGTCAAGACTGTCATGGAAGTCAGGATTGCCCAGATTTCTCATCCCTGTTGGTTCTTGTGTTCTTTCTTCAAGGAAGGGTGTTTCCTCTTTCCTTTTGGGAATCTTGCCGGCTGCATCTGCACCTGTTCCTTTCCAATCAACATTTACTGCCTGAGCTGCCCTCAATTCGTTTTCCATTTTTGCTTCCACTTGTTTTTCTTCATGTTTGCTTTGAGGTTCTTCCAAAATCTCAGTTTGAGTGCCTACATCTGCTGTAGTCTGAGTGTAGCTATCTGATCTAGTAGCCTTTACAGCCTCTTCAGTTCCTCTTTGGTTCATTTTGGCATTCTGCTCATTATCTAGAATAGTCTGTTGGGAGAGGTTTCCCAACAGCTCAGAAGTGTTCTGAAGAAGCTGCGACAGATGCATGGACAGGTTCTGCATGCTTGTCCAAGAAGAAGGTTGTTGAAATAAATCTCTGTTTGTTTCCTGCTTTCTTGCAGAAATATCCGTATAGCTTCTCTGATGTCTTCTCTGCCTTTTATACCTTCCTGGAGTTGCTGTTTGTGTTCCCTGCTCACGTGTAATCCCTGGTAGTTTTTTGGAAGACCTTTCAGACTCGGAAGGATATAATAGTACAATTTCATCAACCTGCACTGCAGAGTTACCAGGTTGTGCAGAAGGATTTTCAAATTCAGCAGTGTTATTTTCTGGATTAGTTTTCAATGTTTCACTGGATACGTTGCTGTACTGCTTGGTACTGTCATTTGAGTATGCAGATTGAAAGTCTTGTCTGACATTGTCCCATCCTTGAAGACCTTCAATGCTGCTTAAAGTGCTCGATAAAACTTTTGCTGTAGCATATGAACTGAGATGAGAATGAAAAGGAGAATTTTGAGAATTCAATCCATTGTCTACACTGGAACATCTCATAACTTTGCAATTTTCCAGGTTTAAAGGAATTTGATTGCAAGAGACATCACTTGCACTTCCAAAAACATACTGTTTCCAACCAACCTTGCACAATCCGTCTTTTTGCCATGGATGAATATATGGGTTGATATCACTTGAACTAAAATGCATTGTATCTTTATTGTCTGGCAAAAATAAATCTGTTTCTGGCTGGTATCCAGCTTCTTCAACTTTCCCTTCACTACACTGAGCTACAGAACTAGTCTTTGAATGGACATTTGCTTCTGCACCCACAGAACTGTGAGCTGTGTGCAGTAAGGATGATGGAGATTGACTAGTACAGTCTTTTAAAGACTGGATGCTTTGGGTTCTTGCTGCAAAATTTTGTAAATTTTGGGGATCGCAGTTTGCAAGCTTCTTAGTTTGTGCCATTCTTTGCTGAAATCTGGGTTTAGATTTAACCTGTAGAAAGTTCTTTGATTCCTGCTTTGAAAATCTTTCAATTCCATAAAGATCATCTTCAGTTGGTGATGGAGGCTCTACACTCATATTTAAATCTTGTAGTGATTTAGATGCAGAATATAACAAAGGATCTGCCTTAGATGAAGATTCCAAAGTATATTCTGTATCAGAGAAGACAGCAATAGCTGGGGCTGATAGTCTGTGACTTTGTAAATAAGGTCTCTGTTCACTTTGTTTACAGCTCTTTGTATTCTGTGTAGTAGAATATGATCTTTTGCTCCTGAGTTGCACCAATTTGGATTCTTGAGGAGGCAAATCATGGTTTTCTGGTAAAAACTTTACAGAGGTACTTTCATTATTCATTACAGAAAACTTCAGTCTTTCTGATCTCAGAGTCTTATTCCTTATTATAGCGTCTCCTGTTGTTGAACAATTGTCTGCATCAGCATCATCAGCAGGGCTATCAACGCTTGAACCTGTATTATTTTTGCAAAGTAAAATCTCTGTTCTACCATCTGTATTTGTTCTGTCTGGCAACTGTTCTATCTGTTCACCTGTAGGCACATACTGACAATTATCTTGCAGATCTGCAGGGTTTTTTTCAAAACCCAGGACACTGTGATATAGTCGTCTGGGATCAGTGCTTCTGCTGTATGTGGGATATGTTGGACTAAATGAATTGCAGGTGTGTTCAGGATCCACATCAACATCTCCTGGATACAGATTTTCCAACAGTGTAACTTCTGAGCCTGCTAATTCATTTGCAGAATTTGAGGATACATTAGTTTGCTTTTCAACAGGTTCTCTACTTAATGTTTTTCTCTGCTCTGTCTTCACTGCAAAATGTTCAGCCCCAGTATCTGAATGCAGTTCTTCCTCATTTCTGTTCAGTTGTTTTCTCCTTTGTCCCTCTTTAACAAGAATTGCCTTTCCAGTATCCCAAAAAGGTAATGATGGTAATAAAAGAGAATTATCATTTAGTACTTTCTCTATGTGTTCTGTGCAAACTTCTTGTGGTGGAACTTTACCCCAGTGGTGCTGATCAACTTTTATATCATTGTCAAATATTTTACACTTACTTCCATATACAGGTTCCCTATCTGCAGCAGAATTTTTGTATGAAGTAGAGTCTGTGTCTGATACTGGACAATGCCTGTTTTCTTTTGCAAGAGAAAGTAAAATACTTCCTGAAGCACATACCGGCTCATCGAATACCACAGCCTTATCAGACTGAGTGTCTTGTATTTGCAAAACAGCAAATGGAGAATGTTTCAATACACTTGTATGTGAAATATTGTATGTGCTAGTTTCACCATGGCCTATATCTGCAGTTAAAGAAGATTCTGAAAATGGTGTTAAGGATGGGTGACTGACACTTGCAAATGCTTGGAGAAAATCTCCTTCTTTTACAGAGCACACATCTGCAGAACTGGAGGACACCTGCTTAGTCAAAAAAGTGTCTTGAAGTGAGTCCTCAAGCTGACTAAATATTAGAGATTTTGACTCATCAAGTAAACAAGAAGTGTCAAAAGCACTGAAGTTCTTGGAGCTTTGAAATGGTGTATCAGTTGGAGGATCTTCTACAAAGTAGGACAGAAGAGACTTTGATTCTTTACTGCCAGTCTGTTCTCGGCTCTCAAAAGTAAGCGAGCCTGATTCTGGTATAGTCACACTAGAAGTGTTACTGTAGTGTTCTGAGTACTCAGGTATTTTATTTTCTTTTATGTCATTGCAATTCTGGAAAGAACCTTGAATTATTTTCTCCTTTTGATCTGTTTCTGCAACTTTTTCAGGGAGTTTATTATTCTGAGCATATGTGGCCTCTGCAACTGCAGAATTATTTTTCCTTTCATCTCCTTTTTGAGAAGCATCAGGAAAAGTTACAGATACAGTTAAATCTGTTGATTCACTTTCAAAGTATTTTGTTTCTTCAGAGAGAACAGCATCATTTTTACCTTTGTCTCCATTGCTGGCAATCAAAACATCTGCAGGTGATGCTGGATGATTCAGGAGACCAGGAGAACTTTCAGAAGTGCCTGAGTTCCTATTATAATTTAGAAACTCTGTACTATAATGTGGATTTTCCCATGGAGACTTGTTCAGGCCTTCCGAAAGGGTTGAAGTGTTCTCAGAAACAGTGCTGCCCAGTTGGTCTATGCAGCACTCTTCAGAAGTCCCATGTCCCTGATTTTCTCTGGGCTCATGCTGATATCCAGCTACACCAGGAAACTTTGCATTTTCATTTTTACTGTTTGTTGTAGTATAGCTTCTGCTTAAAAATTTCTCCTTCTCATCATGCTGTGATAAACTCCCTGAGTGAAGTACTTTCTGAGTTGTATTAATATCATGAAACATTTTTTGTGAAGAGATTTCTAGTAAAGAATGCTTTTTTCCACCCCCTATATCTTCCACCACTTCTCTCTCTGAAGAAGAAATCAGGTCTGAATTATCCAAGAGCAATGAATCAGGCACAATGGCTCCCTTTTCCTCTTGAGCTGTATCTTCTATGGAATTAAGGCAGTCTTCTGATAGTTTATTAACCATTAAATCCACACTGCGTTCTTCATGAGCGTTGTTAACATCCTGAATTATATCTTCAGAAGAATCTAATTTTTCCAAGGAAAGTGAGCTTCCTTTGGCCCCTTGCTGAAGTACAACAGTTTCAGACTCAGGACCGCCTGCACTGTAGGGAGTGGAAGAGCTCTTCTCATTGACAGGTTGCCCAGATACGGCATAATCAGGTGCATTGTTAAACACAAAGGATTCTTCCCCCTGTCTGTCCTGTGTGGTTCTGGTTTGCAGAAAAGCTACATTCTTACTTTGCATTTTATCAGAAAGATATTTTTCTTCTCCCATTTTGTTGACTGTAACAGGCGTACCGACACAGACCTCACTCTCCATTAATGTTTCATAGTAAGGCAGGACAGCTCCAGTTCCAACACTATTGTTAGATGGTTTTGTATGTCCTTTCAATGCAGTGGGAACATCTTGAACAAGATGGGAATCATCACTTACACCAAGATATAAAAGGTGATTTACAGACTGGCATGGGGAGTCTTTAAGTGAAACTTTTTGAATTTTTTCAGTAGACTTCAGTGTTGCTGGTGGATTTTGTTGCTTGCTGCTATCTTCATTATTTCTAGAAAAGCTGGTAGACACCCACTGGCTTTCTCTTAAGAATTCGTTGAGTCTGCTGTCATCATGTGTCACTTGGCAGCTGTCTTTGTTTTCAGGGAATAGATCATTCAGGTTTTGTAAAATGATCAGTTCTACCTCCTCTGTGTTTTCTACAAACACCTCCTTTTCTTTGGCTGTTTTGGCCATTTGTACTAGATTAATCAAATGCACTTTCTCCTCCTCAACTCTGGAGCCTGCTGGATCCAACTCACAAATATCAGGTCTTTTTCTAACAACACTGACATTCAAGTTTTCTGAAGTGCCATCCTCAGGATATCGCATAGAGCAACTCATATACGTATGGCTGTCCTCTTTAATATGGAGGCTTTTAAATTCTTGTTCAATTCTATATTGGTCAATACCTGTACTATCATCAACTGAATATTCACATGCATCGATATCTTTCATGACCGCCTTTCTTGTATCTGTAACAGAGTCCACTGAGCCACCATCTTCACTCATTTCAGTAGGATCGTGATATCTTGAATCATCTAATAGTATATTCTGTTCTAGTCCTGAAGCTGTCAGGTATCTTTCAGGGATCTTAAACTGATTTAAAATTTCCTCTTTGTCATCTCTGTCACAATACATCTGATGTAGAGCTGGAGACTCTTCAGTAAATAAAACATTTTCATCTGAGCGTATGACTTCTTGCCTCGTAATAATCAGCCCCTCAGTGTTTGTCATGATAATTTGTTCTTCAGTCCCAGTCACTTCACATTCATTAACCTTGTCTTCCTGGGGCAAATAGTTTTGTACACAATGTTCAATTAAATTGCTAGAATTTACTTGTCCTTCATTTTCAGGTTTTGCTAAAATATTTCCTTGCCTACTTGTGATTAGTACCGTTGCAGCTATGTCCTCTGTATTAAACACATTTTCTATTGTTCTGTTCATCTGTAAAAGCCCCTCACAAGTATCAAGGAAGCCTGAAGTATTCTGAGTAGTATCTGTTGTGTGGGAACACACAGCTGAAGGAGTGGTTTTGGGAGCAACAGAAAACTCTGGTGAATAAACACCTATTTCTATTTTCTCACTTTTTTCTTTTTGGCAAGAGCTGCTTGTTTCAAGTCGGCTGCCAGAATGCATGACTGCTTTTGATTTCTGAGTATGTTCTACCCCAGGGCTAGCTACCTGCAGTTCATCTTTCTCCACCTTTTCATGTGTCAGGCACAGATTCGTATAAAACTCACACTGAACTTCACAAGCTACAATATCAATAGGGTTCTTTGGATTCTGAGAGAGACTAATGCCTTTAAAATCCTCTCCACTCCTGTCTTCAGTTATGCTTTGGACTTTGGCTCCTGGGTAGTCAGGTAAACTTTCAATCTGTCTGGATTTAATTTCCAATGCACTTTTTTCTAAGTTGATTGCACTACTGATTAATTTTGTTATTTCTTCATCAGTGTTTCCTTTTGTATTCTGACAAGGAACCATAGGTTCTTCTAGATGGGATTCTGGGTTTCTTAAAAACTTGGATTCTTTATTTATATACAGACTCTCCTCTTGAGAAACAGTAGCTGATGTATTTGTACTGTATTCAAATATTCTTCCCGACTCTGAGTCTACATCATCTTCAATAAGCAAGATATCCTCCAGGCAATCACTTTCCAAAAAGGCTTCTTTCTCTTCTCTTGATTCAAGCAAAGATTTTTTCTGTGTTTCTGTTTCCAAGAGAATGGTTGCATCAAATTCCACAGAAATATCAGTCGTCTTATGCGTGCTGTTTTTCTGCCCTATTGCTTTTGAAGAGCATGTTGTGCAAAGGCAGCCAGAACATACATCAGAACAGCTTCCTGTGGCACTGACTTCCACAGTGAGATTAGATGTAGCATCACAATCTCCTTTCACTATTGTGGCATGCTCCAATAGTTTATCATAATTTTCAGTCTCAGATGCACTTTGAAAAAGATTAGCTTTTGTTGAGGCTTTGTAAAATATGCTTGAATTGGATTCTGGGAGAAAATCATTTGTACTCTCACAAATAGCAGCAGGGAAAGACTCAGTGTCTTTCCCATTTACATTCACTATGAGATAACTTACTTCATTTACAACTAAGCTTTTATATTTGGGTGAAAATTCTTTCTGAACTACAGCCTGAGAATTCAAGACATTGTGCTCTTTGCTTTCACTGCTTTCTTCTCTTATATTATCAACGCATAATGTAGAATTTTCTGAAATTTGTTGGGATAAGCAACTTGCCCGACTGTCTGCTAGAGCGCATTCATGGGAATAATTTTTTGAAACAGGTTTGCTTTTGAATTCATAATGATTCAGTGAAGACAAGTCTTCATCCTTTGGTTTGTATTCTTCACTGTCTTTGAATGAAGGCACCTCTGGCGCAATCTCTGCCAAGCTATCTGTGCTAGTTTCCATACAGATAATCTCTTTTTGAGACATCTCTATTGGTGTCGCAGATTGGTCGTAACTTGCGCTGTGAGCAACAACTAAAGGGTTACATCGATATGTTGTCTTCTGTGAGGAGGAATCTGCCTCTGTTGTTACTTCTTCTGCAGATATTTGTTCATAATCTGTTTCTTGCATTGTTTCCAAATTACTCTCCCCAGATCTGAGGAGACCTACTGTAACAGCTGACTCTGCTCTTTGCCCAGCCAATGTCTGAAGCCCGTAACTGCTTACTAGAGAGCAGTTCTTATTTGTTAAGTCACTGAGAAAGAAACCTTTATCACAACACATTGGTTTTTCCCTTCTTGGAAAAAGCTGCCTGTGGTTTCCAAATTGGACTTGTTTTACTGCGGATGTCTGTCTTGAGGTCATATTATGAGCAAGTCCTGTAGCAGGTTCAGCAGCAGATGCACTTCCGCTGCCTGAATCTGTCATTCTTGATTTTGTCATCAAGTCACTGTAGTCATCATCGAGGTCATCTTTTTCAAAAGTTCTGAAGAAATCATCTTCTAAAGCTGCATCTACACAGCCATTTCTCTGCTCCAAAATGTGCATAGGCAACACAGAAATAAAAGGTGTTTTTTTCAGATTGTGACCTTTTGGCAGCTCTGGATGAGTTGTGGGGAGAGACTCCTCCTCTTTCCCAGACACCAGTGACAAGCAGTCTGTGGTGGATGTGCTTTCCAAACAGCTGAATGTTTGTGTGCATTCAGTGGTAGACCTATAAGTAGATAATTCATTCAGTCGTTCTTGTTCAGGATGATTTGACCTTGAATGTTCATAATAATCATGCTTTGCTGAAACAGGAACAAAAGAGGAGCTTGGTCCTACTGAGCTAACAAATGAGGACGTTACATCTTGAGATTCCAAGGAGGAATTTTCATTAGAGTTTGTCCATCCCTTAAGAATCTTATTTAACGATCCACTCTCAGAAACTCTGCTTGCAGTTGTTGTTGTTTCAGGTAAAGGTACTTCTGATGTGTCAGGGGAGAAAACTGTGTTTATTTCATTTATACGATGTGATAAATGAGTAATACTGTGTATCTGCTTAGAGCCAGAAACAAAAGAAACTTCAGCAGCTGACTGCTTTAGATCATCTTTCTTCAGCCAAAGCTCTGGTTTGCTCAAAGAGCACGGTTGAGCTTCTTGAAATTCCAAATTTTCATGGGAAGAAGGTGCTGTTATTCTGGGGCTGCTGATGTCAGCCTTTGAGTCACAGGAAGACCAAGCATCAGTAGTAAGCAAAGGATTTCCACTTGTGTAATACAGTCTTCCATCAAGAGACCTTTCCTGTTCTACAAAGGAGACTTTTGTCTCCTTCAGCAACCGCTTGCAAGCATTACTGGAAGCAGGCTGTGGTTTAGTGTCCAAATAAAAGGAACTGCTCAGCTTCAGATCATAATTTGTCCCTTCTGTATCTCTGTCGCAGGTCTTGGACTCATGGTCTTCCTCAGTCTGTATAGCTGGTGATCTAGGAGTTTGTAACTTCCAAAAAATCTCTGCTGGCACTTCATCAGATGAGTCAGATTTGGATTCTTCTACTGGATCTTCTGCTGGCATCTCTTCTCCATCAGCTAAGCTGTCCAGAGAAAAACTTCTTTCAGGCTTTCCCAGTCTCCTACGAGATGCGTATGATGTCACCAAAGATGAAATATGGTGATCAGTTCTGCTTTTGTAAAGCTTAACTGGCTCACGGTGGGCCTTTGACTTGTGAAATCGGCTTTTATTTTGCTTTTTGGCTTTATTTTCCTTTTCTACCAGAGAGTCTTGTGACATTTGACTGTCATCACTCTCAGAATCTTCTGCATTGGCAGGACATTTATTTCTCTCAAAATCTTCTTGTTTCAGTTTCTCTGTGAAAGCTTTTGCATAAGCACAGCAGAGAGAATCTACAGAATAGGAACTGTCAGTATCAGAAATCTCATTTTCATCATCCTCTTGCCAGTTCCCCAGCACATCTGTGGCTGTTTTGGACACTCCAGCACTTAGCATCTCAGCACTGTGCCACTTTTTTTCAACGTAAGAGAGTGGTGCCTGTGTGTTCATCTTAGTGAGATTTCCTACTGATGTTGCCACCATCAGAAATTCTTGCTGTTCCACTGATGATTTCTCATGACTTGGCAAGGCTGAGTTCTTGGCTGCTTGGTTTAGATGCACTGATGGTGGGTTTCCATACACTGTTTTCTTCATTTCCTTAGGAAAGTTTTCTGGAGAAGACCTGTGGCCTTTTCCATTGATATCCATTCGAGTCTTCTTATTGGATACCTGAGCTCTATTTTGTTCTAGATTGCTACTTGCAGGCTGACTTAAATCTCCTAGCACCTTTGCTTTTGTCATTCTTGTCCCTGTAATAAAGGTTTCAGGTTCATCTTTGTCCTTAAAAAGATCAGGAGAGGAGCCTTTAGAGGTGTGGTTTTGAGATCCAGCTTGCCCTGGGTTGTCATCCAACCTTTCAATTTTTTGATCATTTTTATTGATATAAGCCATGATAGCTGAATCATTAGAGTCTTTTTCTGCTCCTTTTTTTTTTCCAAATGAAGATGTTCTTTGTTTTTCAATTAGCTGCCTCTGGACTGAAAAGGAGATTCCTTCTTCATCATTAAGGTCATCACTCCCAGAAACGTCTTTACCTCTTTTGTAAAGATATTCCACAGATGACAACCTCCCTGTTGTACTGCCTTCGCAGCATTGATCAATATTTGGTGAGGTAGATAACTTTGAGACAGTCTCCCTCTTCAACAAACAGCTGTGGAAATAAAGAAGAAATAAAGCCCAATCATTGCTTGAATAATGTACTTAACAACACTTCCACATCAGTAATGTCTTGTAGTTAGGAATAACAACACGTGAAGCAACAATCTTAATGCCTTTCAAAAGCAAATTCTAGCAGAGAACCAAAAAAAAAAAAAAAAAAATTTTCTGTCAGTAACCATACAGTCCCCCAGATATCCTTAAATATGTTCTGCAGCACAAAGGAATAGCTCGATGCTATGTGGTATAGCTTGGTATTTAGTCTCTGTAGGCTAAGGTAGCTGCAAACATTAGTTAAAAATAAAGGATGGTTCTAAGTCACAGAAATCCACTTAGCTATTTCCTGCCTTCAGGACCATGCTGTGATAGACACCCTAGCACCCCAACTTTTTAGCATTGCATAGAGATATTTATTTTGAGAGAGGCTGGCCAACTTAAAAGTCCAATCCAGAGTCACCTCAATGATACAAATATTCTGAAGGAAGAGTTTGACCCTAACCAAGATAAAATGATGCAGAAATTAGTATTTACCAACAGTTTGAACAAGATAAGAACAAGAGTTAAGCCAGTTCTGAAAAGCATTCACAAAGAGGCAAAAAGTACAGAAAGGCTTGAGAGAGGAATGAAAAAACCAGTGCGAAAGACCACGTCAAAGAGCTAAGCAGAGAATGCACTGTACAGATCCAAGGAAAAAGGACAAACAGCTGCAGTGTGACATACAATATAGTAAGTTCACTGATATTGCAAGTTTGGGGATTATTTCAGTACATTGAAAGGCATTCTGGATTATACGTGGCCACTGAAAATTCAAAATTAATTTAAATTCAAGGTAAGTGCAGAGGAATTGGCAGATGTTAACTTACCTGGGTACATGGGGCAGATGTGGGTTATAGAACGAATGCTGCCTGTGCTGCAAGGAACTCGAACCCAGTGACTTCCTTCTCTTTTGCAATTGTTGATCCGAAGAGGACAGTAAAGCAGTATTTTCATTTAGGACTTTGGATTGTTTCACACACTCTTCCTTGAGCCAGCAGCTAGCTTCCAGATGCTCTAGGTTTTGCTTGGCTTCCAGTAACTTCTGCTTCTTGACTATCCTTTCTAGCTGGAATTTGACCTTTTTCCGTCTTATGTTTCTTTCTGCCTTTTTTAAGGAGTATTTTCGCAAGAGCTCCAGCTGCACCAGTCTCTTCTTGTTCTGCTGTAGCAGGGAAGGGCAGATTTCTAGCCCAATGGTACTCTGCACCTCAGCCTCTGCATACAGCCTAGACTCTGTTTGCACTGCAAACTCCCTCTGCTGCTGCTGAAGGGCAGCCAGTCGTTTATTCTCATTTATAAGCCACTGCTGGTCTGTAAACAAAACAATGATCGAAAGAAAGTAAAAATCATAGGAACAACATTGTTCGTTACTATCTTGTTTCTTAATTTAATCAGCCTTGAATGCTCATTTGAGAACAGAATTTCTATGCATGTAGAAAAGAGTCTTGACAAACCATTTAGAGAAGAATTCATCATTGCTGCACTTTATTGATAACGGGAAGCCTTTCCATTGGGATAAGGACTTGGGTAACAACTGCAAGATGTAAACAGGGGCTTGGCTAATATAGCTAAGGAGACTAGTGGATAAGACCTTGTTTGTAAGCAAAAAGTAGAACACATTTCAATTTCTTAAAGATTACACTCAAATGTCACCTCAATTTAAAATACAGTGGAAGCATTAAAAGGCCTGAGTTCAATTCTGTGCACTTTTCAGACATAGGATATATATTCACAGTAGTGAAGTATGACTTCATTAGTTTTTTACTGTGAAATGTGCTACTACTTCTGCTATAATTATTCTGAAGTCACATGTTAAGCTTCATATGTGTTACTTAGGGAATGAATGTATGTGCACTGAGAGCAGAGTTAACAAGGGAACTAGAAGAGGAAGTTGTACAAAGCTGAACAACCTCTGTATTAATGCAGCAAATGGAATTTCATGCACACACTGATGAGCCTTTGGCTAATAAATTCCTACATTTCGAGTGAAAAAATAAGCACTTGTGCAATCTTAAAATGTTACTGACTTCTCATCACAGCATTTGAGTGTTTCACAACTATTGTAAAAAAAACAACCATTTCTCTTTGTGCCTTTTGCTCCTATCCTTTCCTCCTTAACTTTAATGAACCAACAAAACCCACCTGTAAACTATTTTCTCTCACTTGCCTAGGCATGCTGAACATGAGGGAGCCCAGTCATGCTAAGGAACTTTGTTTACCACAGGAAATGGCAATTTTTGTGCTTGCCCTTATCGGTGGCAAGTTCAGTTAGCCTGAAGGCTAGACCTTTCTACGCTCCAGTCGTGATGTGCCTCATTTGTGGAGGCAGCTGCAGCTGCCAGCTACCAGTCCTGTGGATGGGCATGCAACCTTCAAAGTAGGTTGAAGACAAGGCTCAAGGAAGCCACCATAGAGGTACCTGCTGGACAGTTCTGCCACCCTCCCTAAACCCATCAGATGGAAACTTCCCAAGCAATGCAAACCCTGTGCAGCACCTGGCCGAGGTAGAGCAACAACCACAAATTTACTGCCTGTTGCAACTACAGCTGCTCCAATAAGCACTTGCCAAAACAGCCTGATGGGAGCCTGCAAATCTTATACACGAGCACTTTAGCATGTAATGTACTTGAAATAAATCAAATACACTCATGGCAAGGACGCAGGTGAAGCCAACACAACCTTTAGCTATCAGGACAAACATAATGCAAAAAAACCAAGCTCGTACCACCAGCTAATGCATATTTTTCATAAAATCACCACTCTACTCCACAAAGACAGTTAGCTTCTCTGCTTTTGTTAATGTCCCCCATATTTCATAAATGCTAAATATGCTTACAAACTGATTAACCTAATTTGGTAATAAAATACGTTACCTCTGCTTACACACTTAGTCTTCTCTAAATATTCAGAACCTGATCTTTGCAGTCAGTGGGAAACAGTAGAGAACACAGAACACCAGGTTGCTTTGTTTTTAACCCTGGATGCAAGACTACTTTATTCCATGCAGGGGATGTGCTTAGAGGTCTTTCAGAGTGCACTGGCTTCAATCTGAGCTATGATGAACTGTAACAGTCAAAAGAAGGGGTTATTGAGATCACCACTACCGGATTGCATCTGATTGCTTGGACATGTTCTCTTAACAAAGCAGAGTTTGTTCATTTTTATGCTGCTATAAAAATACACATATTCAGCTGCACAAAGCAAACAAAAAAAATATCCTTAAGTGAAAAAGCAATGTAAAATCACAGGCAAGGTTCCTTGGCAAGTAGAGCATTTCTCAAAGGACCAAAGCTTTTCAAAGCACTCTGTCTTACTAGCAGCAACATTTTTTTGGCTGGGCTTACCTTCAATCTGCAGTCCTTTACTGAATAAGCAACCTCTTGTTGTTTATTCAGGGGGTTAGGAATTAAGAGCTATTTAAGTCTGATGTGATGAATGAGGGCTACCTGCAGCTCTGCACACCTGAGCTGCAAGAGAGGAATTTTGGGCTGTGGAAACTTCCCTAATGTAAGAAATCATTAGTCCATAGGGATTACCAGCATCACTTGCTTGGTGACTACTGATCTTGTTAAACATACTTCATGAGTGATCCCTACTACAATGAGTCTCCTGTCCCGTTTATGTTGGCAGCTCTGCACACAGAACATGCACAGAAGTAGGAATTCTAAATCTATGGTTACTCTACAGATAAAAGGGATGCATTTTAGTTGTTATTTTAGTTAATTTTTCTTAATAACATTTTTAACTTTCTCATACAAAGCTTTTTTCTCAACTCTTTATTTCCAGATCTGTCCTCTTTAGCATGTTCGTAGCAAGCAGATTTAGCAGATAAGTTTCCCTGCAACAGAGCTGCAAACTCTAAGATGCTAATTAATCTCTGCTCACAAACTTGCCTCTGTCACGAGCTGAGACACAGAGGGTGCAGAAAAGGTGGAGAACTTTGGTGGGTTGCCAAGTGAAGAATTGTATTTGGCTGGCAAAAACTACCTGCCTAGCTAAGCTTTGCGTGAACACAGTGAAAACAGCAGAACTAGATGAAAGCAAAGAACAAAGTCTACAGACCCAGGAAATAAAGATATTTTGGGGGAATTCCCCTGGTTCTCTGTACTATCTACATATCTTATGTCCATTTCTGCTACATCCCATCACCACAATTTCCTTTTAATCTCTTCATTGTGGCTGACATAATTAAAAGATAGCATAAGTTTGGGTCTGAGAAGCTTCCAAAAATTCACAGAGGTTTTCTTCTTCCAGGAACCAATAGCAGGTTTTGCCAAGTGGGAACAGTGCCTTTGTAATAGGGATACTTTGCTTATCAAGAAATCTGGATCAAATCATTCATTAAACAGCAAACTAGAGAACACTATAACCACCCAATTTCAGTGGTTGAAAACATCTCACAGTTTGAAATGTTCCCAAATCAGTCTATAAACTCGTTAAGGGGCAGCCCAACCCCACCAAGAAATCTTGCTGAATATGTCTGCCTGCATGCAGAGCAGCACCTCTGGGGACCAGGAGCCACTGACCCTAAAAAATACCTCTCCAAATATGCTGTGGCTCTACCTTCTGACATAGCTATTTACCATTCAAAATCCGATCACTGATCTAGCCTTTAGTACTCTTGCATTATGCTGTAGAACTTCCTAGAAATAACTCCTATTTGAACCAAAGCATGTCTCTCTTTTTTTAATCCAGTTTTGGTTTAAAACAAATTCAGCAGTGAAGAATGCAATACCACTAACTAATCATCTTTAGGGTAAATAAGACCCATATCTTATTTTTAATCTTAATTTGTTGCACTTCAGTTTCTACCACAGAATATCTTATTCTATAAAAGGGTTGGGGGGGGTGGGTGGTGGAAATTGTCTATATAAAACCCAGTTGAAACTCTCCTTCCCTTAACTGGGGCTGGGATTTTAGCTCTGAATTTCAGTGTCCCACCTACTTCTCAGATGTATTTTCTTTGTTTTCATTGTTTAAAACTCACATAGCAACCACAGAAAATTCAGGTTTGAGGTATGGTCTTATGCCATGGCTCTATTTTTCCTAATGAGTGAAATTCATTAAAAGCATATGAAAATGGTCTATATTGTTACAGATGACATCATCAATGAAATGCATAAAGAGAGTACCTCAACCAACACACATTGCTGTGGTGCTTGGTTCCTATCGCATCCTGTTGTTACAGCAGTTTCCCCTGAAAGCTTATGGTAGGAACTACCACATTCACCTCTATTTCAATCTCCCAGAACAACTCATTGGATGAAGCACAAGAAAAACTTAAAACACAATAGTAGACTTGGTCTACATTGCAACATGGCAGAGTTGCACTACAGATATGAGCAGAGCAAAGCTACAGAGAGGCAGGATGGGGAGCACCTTGGGAGACAAGTGGCTCAGTGCCACAGTGGAGTTGCATGCTGGTGCTGTCTCTCCCAGCAGTGACCTGCAGAGCTAATTAAACAGTGCTGCTGGTGCACTGCAAAGGAAGCCCTTTAGTCCTGTTAATCAAAGCTTAGTAACTGTTCTCAAGGGAAAGGCAATTATAAGAGAAAACTAGTAATAAGCTATAATAAAAGTTCCACCCATAGTATAAAGCATAACGAGGACAAAACCAGCAAGAGGATGAAAGAATGCAGTAGTGGAAGCAAGAGAGAGGAAGAGGCAGGTACCCACTTTCTTGGATCTGCTGGTTAATTAGTGCTTGGTCATTTTCTAGTTCCCGCTCTGCTTTGATCTGTCCTCTCAGGATCTGCTGCTGTAAATCCTCAACATAGAGCTGCTGCCGTTGAATTTGTTTTCTGTGGAAGGCTTCCTGGTCTCTCAGTTTCTGCTTGTACTCTTCATGCACAGCATTTATTTCTCTGCTGTTAGAAATGTTGACAGTGAATTTAAACCAGAAACAAATACCAAACATTTGTAATAAAACAAGTCATCTTACTAAAGAAAGACAGACAACATTTAAGATATTGTTTTTGTTCAGTAAGGGTGCATTATGACAAAAACTGGTGATGGTAAAGTGGCTGTGTATATGCATGTCATAGTAGGCTACGATCCTGTAAGTATCATAAATGTCAGCAAATATGAAAGCTCTCATGGTGAAGCAGAAAATTCCATCACCAGAAAGATAACAGCAGAAAGAATTTTTAAAATACTGTCACTTTTCATTTTGCTGTAGATCTTCCAAAAATGAAATTGGGGAGGGTGGTTGGTTATATGTTATAAAATTTTATAATCACTATATAGGATATTTAAGTACTTCAAAGTGCTTTACAGAAGTAACAAACATTCTCTGTTTTCAGATCAAAAATTTCCAACCTAGAAAGGGTTATGGACATTGTTGAGATTACACTGACAGTCTCTGGCAGTACCAAGGAAGGAACTTGATCACCCAATTCTCTGTTGGATGCAACAACTATATTATGTGACTGCTTCTATATTTGCAGCAGAGTTGTAATCAGAAAAGTGACTAACCTGTGAAGAACTGCCTTATAGTCCCCTCCAAGATGTTTAGTTCCTGACTGTGTGCCAAAATTTTACATGCGCACACACATAGAGTAACAATCAAAATAGTATCTATTCTTAGCATGATCCATGATAATATTCAAAATACATTAACCCTCTCAAAGGAATATATATTCTACTTGTCCACACGTTATCATCAGGAATCCTTAACATTAAAGTTATATTATATATAAAGGTGATATATGATCTTTGCCTGCTGTTTTGTTTCTAAACACCACATTATTATACGTAAGCTCAGAAAATTAAATCTTTAAGTCTAGGAAAAAAAAATTAAAATATATTTTACTAATGAAGTAAATGATGTATTTATTATACTTTTAAAGAGAGAAAAGGTATCAAAACTCTAAAGAATCCCTGAAGGTCAAAAGAAAACAAAAATATAATTTCAAAAGGAATGCTTTGGAAACATCATGTTGTTTGTAAAATCATTACCAATACAAGGTCACCTGTATGAAAAGAGCATTTGACCTTTGCTACATAGGAATTAATTTGACATCTCTATTTAGAACTGTAAGCATGTGTTCAAAGCAACCATTTCTACAGCAACAACTTTGATTCTGTGTGCTAGATTAGCAGACAAAACAGATGAAACAATTAAGCAGCCAAAGTCTACAATCTTCTGGAGTACCTTTACATGGAACATGTATTTCACTTTCTTAAAAAGCAGTGGGAAAGCCTCACTACATAGAAGCCTTAAGATTCTCAGTAGTTTACAATATTACTGTGACTCTCACTAACCTGAGGAAAACAGAATTCAGTTTGGTTTTGATGTTTATGTAAATGTAATGCTGGTGAGAATAACTGAAAAGGAACATCTTCTGTTCAATTGTCTGGCATGGTGTGAACAGTCAGAGTACAAACTTTGCTACTGTCATCTGCTAAATGGTCTGTGTCTGTTTGGGACCCACAGGAACGAATTATAAGAACAGACAGCTCCAAGTTCTATTTGTCCTTGGTTTGACTACAAAGATGCCAACAATCTGTGATTTGTAATTTTTTCCTCTCAGATAAACTTTAATTGATCCCCAGGAAATAGGAGAGGGGTGCCTCATTTCTCATTCAGCTGAAGTAGGTTTGAATTGACACTTCACTGCAGCACTGAAACGCTCGTATGGCCATTACAAATCGCCAGCTGTTCAGGTATTTGTAATGCCACCAACTACGGGGGGACAAACTCAGAGGTTAAAGCTAGACTGGTTAACTAAAGAAGAATCACTTTATGAACATAGTATTAAATCTGAAGGATCTCGTTTAGGAAAAACTCCCATGGTTTTAATGATAACTCTGAGGGAGGCTTTCCCTGAATATGGCTTCCAGGTTATCTTCCATATTTTCCAAGGGAAATGTAATGGAGCAGCCAAATAATCTGGAGATTAAAGGACTGATCTGAGACAAGACCTCTCTGATTTTGGAGCAGTTATATCACCTCTGTGCCTTCATGTACTTAGGCTGCAAGGTCTTCAGGGTGAGAACTGCCTCTGGATGCTTATGCACTAAACCTAACAGAGCCCTGATGTCAGCTGAAGCCTCTTCTTGCTGATACGTTAAAACTACTAAACCTTAATAGCAATTGTAAATGTTAAGTCTCTGCATACTCTGATGATGGGGTAGTCTCTAACCTGTTTTGCTAAAAGACATATAAAAGCTCTGATTCCTATCGTGATATGAAAGTTGAAAAATGTGACTCTAAAATTTGTTACTGGACAGTTGCATGACCTTGGGCAAGTCACTTAGTCTGAGGCACGTGTGAAATAAGCCAAGTACATTCATCCAAGAGGAGTGATGAGGAACCATTAACATTATCAAATATCAGAAAGTCAAGTATCAGAAGAGTTGATTTCTATCATTTATCATTTTATGATTTATCATTATTAGCACCATTCTGTATGAGATTGAGGAAACTGAGTAAATCATTGCCAATAAGGCTGAAAAGCTGAGCATGATAGTAAAACAGTAGACAAAGAATTCTTGTTCTGCACCTGTTTACTAAAACTAGATAAAATTCCTCTTACAAAATGTCTCATATTCTTCCTAACCATGACTTTTAGCACTCAGCCATCCTTTCCATAAAATCGACCTATCAGAGTTCAATCTGTTTACAAATTGAAACCCAGAACATTTAAGTACATGAAACAACTCAGTGTTGCATTTCAGTCCAAAGACCTCACAATGCTCACAGAGGTGGTTAGGTAACATCAGTTTACAGATGGGAGAGGGTCAGAAGTTCTTCCCATACTTTCCAACAATGCTGAAACAATCCCACCCTCACCCCCACCCATATAATATGAAGTATCAGAGAATAAGCAATGCAAACAAAGCAGATGGAAGTGTGTTGTTTGCTGTTCTCAGCAGCACTAGCGTATTCCCTCATGTGTGTGCTAATGGCTTTTTGCTGAACTAACATGAAACTGTAAGATCCTTTCCAACAGGCGTGTGTGTTTGCACACAGAGCAGAACACGATGCAGGCCAAACTGATGTTATTAATCACAGCTCTATACTATGACTACACCCCAAAAAGGCAGAGTACAGATGCATACCGATACTTCACTTTAAACCTTGGAAAAAAAAAAAACGGCACAGCAACCGTTACAGTATTATTACTGCTTTTGTTCTGGTGATGTAGCTAGTTGGTACAATCCTCTCTCCCTAAGGTTAAAGTTTCTGTAATAAATTACTGTTGCTGAAGGTATATATACGAATTGCAGTTCTGCTGCTATTTCAGCTCCTCTTTGCTTCATCTCCTAATTTTTAATAGTACAAAACAAAAACCAAGCAGGGCAGTAAAGACAGGTCTGAATACAGAGATTGAACATTAAACACCTTTTTATGAAGTTGCTTCTTAAAGATGGTTTTCTCAAGTGGAACAAAAAGATAATGAAAATTCATGCAGAGCCACTTACATAATACAGGTATGCAGGAAGATGTTTTTCCTCTGGCCATGAGACTACTGACTGTGAGAGCAAAATGACTGGCTGGTTTGGGTTTGGGATACAGATCTGTCTCTCACAGAAACTGCTGAAACCAAGAACATGAAGTAAGAATGCTCCCTTTCTACCTTTGAACATGCTATGTCACGTCAACACGCTCTTGCTGGTTTGTGGAAATAACATGACAAACTAAACTAAAAAATGAGATGATGATGACCCAGAAAGAAAATAACAGATTCACACATACTTTGTAGCTAAATCACCTAATAGACAATTTAAAGAGCAATCAGTTTGTGTAATACATGTTTGGATGACTAAACTAAAACCAAATATCAATCCAGTTAACATAAGAATTTAGCCATACTCTGTAACGGGTAGATGAGATCACTCATTTCTTTCATCTAAAACATCTTAAATCAGATGTACTGTTAAATTTAGACTTGAAATACAGGAATACTATGAGATACAGGAATAAAGCACAGACCAATTTCTGCTATTGCTTGTATTCCTGCCTTCCCACATAAGCAATCTACATTTGGTATAGTTCTAGCAGAAAATAATATAACCTCAGGACAAACATAAGACAAACAGCTTCATTTCTGTAGGTATCAAGACATACATAAAATCTTGGTTTCATGGGACTGGCATACTCTGGCATACAGCATATAAAAAAAGCAACCCTGCATAGAATTTCATAAAAGCATGCAGATTTCTAGGTGTACCAAATGCAGTGAGAAGTGTCAAGTTACCCCTCCTCCAAGTAAACCTTTAAAAACAGCAAGTAAAATTACAACAAGAGAAAGACACCAACCTTAAAGATAATCACAAATTACTGAGAAAATTTTCATATTATACCATGCTGCTGGATTGTTTTCCATCTCATTTTTCTCTCCACAAAGTTTGCATGACGCGTGCTAAATGAACCATCTGTAAATCCACATTTTTTCCAGCCTGTTTTGTCGTCAGCTCTCCGGGATCCTATTGTGCAATTCTCCTCCCCTCTTCCCCAAACACTTCTACTGCTGATGCAGAGGCTGGCGGCTGCTACAGCATAATGCAGTTTTCAGTAACTATGGCAGCAATAGCTCTGTGGTGAGGCTGAATGCCTTCTGCAACAAAACCTTAAGGCTCAAATAAAGAAACTCAAGTGAAAATAACCACTGTTGCTAAAAGCTGAAATTTGCCGATTTTCACAAAGAAAACATCAGTTAAGTTAGCATCCCCATCCTTCTGTCTGTCTAGTGTTCAAGTCCCATTTTTCTTTTATAAATTACTGTTTCCAGGGGAAGAAGAGTTAATAATAAAGCAGAAAAAAAAATGTTGGCAAGGCATTTTGCGCCCTTGCAAATCCCAGCACTGAGAGCAATAACAAGTCAGGGTTTCAAGCCTATCCACTGATACACATCCACCCCCACTCCATCCTCCCTCTCCACCCGTGTCCAATCCATGCCCTTTCCCGCAGGGCCTCAGAGCATCACAGAGCAGCAGGCACCACGCAGCTGCCTGGGATCGTACATCTGCTTCTGCCTAGCACGGAGGCTCAAACCTCTCCTTTCTCCCTAAAGCAAAGGGAAGAGCAATGAAGGAAATACGAAGACATGGTATTATCACCTCCTCCAGCCTCCTGAAGCAATGCCACTCACACAATTCAAAGCAAAAGTTGGGGATGGTGGGCAGGAGGTGGGAACCAGAAACCAGTCAAAGCAGCCAGCAGAGTCAGAAACCTTTAGAAAGAAGGGACCTTTAGCAATGTACACACAGAGTAATCCCCTTCATGGAAGTTACCATGAGATGAAGTATCATTTGGATTTCAGATTAGCTGGTTTGCTTACAGAAAAAGCACACCTGTGCATTTTTGTTGTTGTTCTTGGTTGGTTGGTTTTTTTTAGCCTTTCCATGCAAAGCCTCATTTTTTTGTTTGCCTAAGTCCCCAAAACAACAGCAAGGTGACTTCCTTAGGGCAACCCTTTAAATACACTTCTAAAACAGAACTCTTTTTGGCAACAAGTCACAGGCACAAGACACAGCCACACACTCCAGTAAAGGTCACCACTGCCTTGCTAATTCCAGTTCAGCTGGAACTACAATCTATCACAGGTTTTGCCCTTATGATTTCAGTTATATATAGAATCAGTTAGTTCCCCTGCTAACCCGTGATACGTGATTCTGCTGTAAGCTGTAGAGTTGCAGTGATTGATACAGTGCATTTCCCTGTGAAATGAAATATTTGAGGGATCTTTTAGGAGATGCAAAAGAGTCCTTTAACTTGTATTTGTAGAGCACTTTGAAATTCTCAAATGAAAGCTGTAAGAACTCAGAGTACTATTTTTACAAATATTAGTTGGACACGTTAACTATACCACATGAGAATAATGTGTTATGTTCTCCAGCATCAGATACCACATCTATGGGCACTGTTTCCTTTCCAGTTCAGTAGTATTTCACACACTCTTATAAGATTTTTTTTCACTGGTTTAACAATATTGGTATTTTAAAAGAAAGAGAGCTTAAACATGTTCCAAGGAGCTAAAATTAATTCAGTGTACTCTTATACCACTGGACTCTAATGGAACAACTGTTTTTTCTCAAACCAGCAAGAGAACAAAATCAGGGTTTATATTTATATACAGTGTGGTATTAAGGCAATGACAGGAGCAAGAAGTTCATTGTCTAGTTATTTGTGGTGACGGTATCATATGATGACTGATGCCAGTAACAAGCCAGAATTCTGTGTGTTTGCTGGCTGACAAGAAACATAGAAGTTTGAAGCACTGGGGCTCTTCTGAGTAGGCTGTATGAACAAGCAGCCAAGTAAGAGTACAATAAATCACACCCCTTTTCAAAGAAAGTTTCATGCCTAAAGTTTTCATATTTGGGTGCAATGGTAGAAATTTGTTTTCCCTCTCATTTCTCAAAACATTTTAACATACAATTAGAGGTTGAGTTGGTAATTCAACCCATGAAAAGCAGATGGGAAAAATGTCATCACACTGACAGCATGGGAGATAAGACTGTAATTAATCAGTACCATAATATATATATGCTCATATGTTCTGAAATAAAAAATCCAGAAGAAAGCAAAGTACCATCAGTTCCTGATTAAAGAGTACTTAAACCCATGGAAGCCAAACAATTTCTGAATTATTTTTGTGTGCAGGTGCTGTGCTTCTCTGCATGAATGAATGATGTTCTATGCTATGACTTCTTTTTTGGATTCTTCCATAAAGCCATTTTCTTCTCACCAGAAAAGAACCCAATTTGTCCAAAGAATTTTCAATATACTAATGCGTATTCACAGTACCTGCTACTGACATCAAATTTAATACATTTTAGGGTTTTTATGTATTGTAAATTGGTGGCAGCTTCAGCGTAAACCCCACTCTAGTCATGGCTCTAAAATCCAGGTTGCACATGCAACAAAGATACAAACCTTTTGCACAAGGTCAAGTATGAAGAAAGAACATGGTTGCAGAGACTTGCCTATAACTCAGCTGCATGTACAGATTCTTGTTTCAATATGATAAAAACAAATTAAAGCTTGAAGCCTAGTTTGCATCTCTTCTGCAGGAAATGAGTGTAGCACAAGAGAAAGACAAAGCTAGAAGGGCCAAAATATTCAGCATGATTTAGACACATTAATATTCTTACCTTAGTTCACGAGAACATTTGTTTTCTTTACAGTTTCTACATTTTTGACTGCAAAAATAAAAATAGGACATCATAAAGGTGTTCAAAAAGAAGACAAGAAAACTTCACTGAAGTCTATTATACACAGAGATGTTACTGTAATTTTCAGTAGAGGAAGACTCTAAGATGCAGATTGCTAGCAGCTGGGAGAGCATCAAGAACTATCAAGTCAGAGAGGGGAGACACACACACACAGAGCTTGCCCTGTTCTTACATTTTCCTCTAAGCGTGTCCTTCTGACAGAGATAAGACTCTGTACTAGGTGGACTTTTTACTGCTGAACAAATAAGCACTTCTTGTAGTCCACTTAGTCCTGTATTACTGTTTTCAAAGTACCTCAGACACAGCTTTTAGTACTTGACATTGACTTTTCTTCACGAAAGCTGGACATTTGAGAGACCACATATATCTTGTTTTATTCTCATATTATAGATCTTAGGCTAGATGTCTCAATTGTTACCCCCTCCATGAGCAAAACTACTTGTCTGGACAGAAACACAGGCTTAGTAGTTACTGTAAAGGAAGGCTGAGTAGATCAATTCAGATTACCTTTGCCAAAAAACTATTCAAGAGGAAAAAAAGACCACTGGATTATGTAAGGTGAAAGACAACTAATATTAGACATAGTTTATAGCTTATTCCTGTAAGAGATGGACATTCATAAAAATCAAGTGAATGCAATACCATAATGCTTTTCATTTTCACTGAAGTAACCATTTGAGAGAATCTAGGTAAGTATGAGGGTAACGTTAAGCAATGTAATATGCATAGTGCTGTCCAAGTGATTAAAAAAAATTGATCAACACAAACAAATCTGCTATTTGAATGTGGTCTGAAAAAAATCAATCAGAAATGTTCTTCAGTTTTGTCAGGTTAAAAAGGGGAAAACCAAGTGCAATTCTGTGCTAAACTGTTCACAATGCTTCAGGATTTCTGCAGGTTTTTCTAGGACCACCAACAAATTTCTGACAAAAGCTCCACCTCTGATGTTTATACCTATGTAAAGCACAGCTTGGTATCTACTTTTGAAGGTCATTAGACAAACCCTTATTTTAAAATTCTTTGTAATTTTTACAAAGAAAATAACAGCAGTGATGTGTAAAACATACCTCAGTAAAGAAACAAAATTAAATACCACTTTGTATAGAAAGGTATCACTGCAGTAAATGAAAAGCAAATGCAGAGATTAGATACATTAAAGAGAACACATGGAAACACACTAGCCAAGGTGGAAAGCAAGCCACTTGACTAGAAGTATGAAGAGATGTTCAAAACAGAGATAACACTTTATGCTCATAAAAGCAAGATGAGATATTTCCTCTAGAAAGAGATAAAAGATTCCCAGTATGTTACCACACCAAAAACACTCTAACAAGAAGCAGAACTATCAACAGATATGAATGAGAAGATGGCTGTTTCTTGCCTTTAACAGGTCAATTGAATGTGCCAGGCTGAGAGGAATTAAAAAAGAGAAAGAACCCAATTACATTTAATTCCATGATATTCTGTTTTCAATGTCATGAACTGAAACACAGGAGATATCTTAATTCATTTTCCTGATACATATTAATCACTGTCTCATCACGCCAACCCTTTCCCTTTCAGAAAGGCTCTGCCATGAAAAGCATACACTAAACACTGTGAGTATGAGCAGCTCTTCAACATTTTGGAAGGAGTCTACGCCTTATTTACTGCTCAGTTTTAAAAAAAAAAAAGAGAATCACAATGGGTTTCTGAGATGAAGGTCTCAATGAGGACTTGAACTCAAGGGAATTTATGAACAAACTAACCTGTTTTCCACAACAAATTAGCAGGGAAACTGAATTGGTAATAATTACCTTGGCTAAATCATATCTAGAAAAGTCCATTCTGTGTGCTGAAGTAAGAATATTGTAAAAATTAGATTAGCTTGTAAATCAAAACAGCTATAATGCAGATGCGCAAGTGAACTGAATTAAGGCTGCCTGACAGTCTCATCTGAGACATTTTCTTGATTGTGCATCAATAAATAATTTTTCAGGTTTGTTGCTTGGATATCATAACACTGTATATTAGTGGCCAATGCATTTTCTCAGACACTTTTATCTGATCACTTGAAAACATGACGGGACCTATTCTGTATACAACTTAAGTTTTGTCTGAACCAAGTCCTGGTTTCAGACATCATCCCACATGAGAAATGGTTTGTTTATTCTAAACTCACTTGTCAAGAGAAGAAAGGATATAGTGAGGAGAATGGGTGCAACTTCCATCCAAGTTGAGCCAGTCCAAAGCTCCACAACTCAGAATGGGTGGGGTTTCATTAATCTACAAAACACACAACATGAGAACAGGGAAAAAAAAAAAAAAAATCACAGCAACCCAGGAACTTCCAAGTTATCATTAAAACTGCCATTGCTCACTACTGTGTGCAATGCTGCATAATACCTCCCATGTGAGCTTACAATCTCACTTACCCTTCTGCTTAGTCTTTGATAATTTGCAAAATTGCTAAGTATTTGTTACTGAGTACTCCTCTTGTAGCTTTGTTTCAATGTACTGCATATGTTTCATTAATTAAGAAATTAAGAATGAAAACAAATGGAAGTTAAGCCCCTTATCTCAACTACAGAATTGTGTACAAAAAGACAGTTGAGTGGAAAGTATTAAACGTTACTATATGAAAACTCATTTTAAAAGGTAGATTCTTGCCAATATCAGTTGGTAATATGGTTATATCCTAAACCAGAAAATTTACATTGTTAGGTTTTTTAGTTATATATGCCAGTCATTTTAAGAATTATCTAATTTTTTTGAAACATTATTGAACTAGCTGACCAAATAATATCTTACAGTTGTTAGTTCCTGAGATTAACATACCAACTATTTTATCTATTTCTGATGTATGTAACAAGCAAGTGCTTTCAGAGTCAACAATACTCAAGCATTTAATCCCATAAATTTTCCATTTCTTCTAGTATACCTCATTTGGGATGGTGAAATGACAGAGAAAGAAGATAATTCAGAAAACTAACAGATGTGGAAAGATTCTTAACTGGTCTTTTCACTGCGGCATTCTGCCTGTTTCAATCCTACTGTAGTCATGACTAGAAATAGGAAACACTAAATTATTCAAGGGATCTGCATCATCTTTTGCTAAGCACATCTGAAAGAAGCACTAGTGTCCTCCCTCAAAAGGTTTAGTGTCATTACAGACCATTAGATAGAGGAAATTAAGCAAGTGGATACAATGATGAGAAGAAATATTATCTATATCAAGCTTGCTTTTAAGAAGGAAAATAATTAGGAAAATCAATGAAGAATTAGGAGAGAAAAATAGTTTTAGAACTTACTGATCTTCTTTGTCTTAAGATAGCAGCTTCTGCTGGGTGATTGAATCTAAACTTATGAGACTTGCCAAGGACAACAAGGGCACCTGTGAAAAAAAAATTAATTAGAAATCTACAGAGCCATAATTCATCAAACAGTTGGTCCCTAGAATGTTAGCAGTTAATCTTAACTCCAGTATACAGACTACAGCATACACAAACTACTACAGAATAGCATGTTTAAAAAAAAAAAAATATTCTGACCAACAGCTTTCTGACCATCATAGAGCAGAGAGCTATTTTTAAAATTTGCCACTATGGAACAGCAGAGTTATCATTCTGTAACGACAGCATCCAAGCAAACTAATCTTGGAGCCGTCTGCAAATTCAACATAACAGTAAATTCCCTCTTCATATTAAAGACCAGCATGACTTCATATCAAAAACAACCAACCCACTTCTGGAAACTTTTTTTTACACCATCTTTTTATGAATCCAGATCACTGCAAGTTCCCAGAAACTGGACTGTTTTTTTTCTTTATAACAAACTGAAAATATGGGAGCCTGATCCATTTCATCTGAGCTCATTCACCATAGCCTGTGAGTCAGTGGCTAGTACCCTCCACGTAAAGACACTAAAAAAGTTGAAGGTCATTTCAACCATATTACATAATTGCCAAAAAAACCCACCAGTGGTCAGCTGGCTTAGAGCCAGTCTCCACTACCTTCCACAACAGTGCCTCTGACTACAGGTCTTCCCTTTTCAGAAGGCTACAGACTACTGCTGCCAAAAGGGGTCTTAATATTGTCACCTATGTCTTCATTTTACTTTCTATGGGGTACTTATTTTATTTGTCCCAGTCTGGAAGCTCTAGCCATGGATCAAACCTTGTGCTGCTAGGCAGCAGTAGGAGACTGACAGATGTATTTCTTAGATCTGCATGAGTTCCATAAATCTGTGTCTCTAAACTCCGGTGGTAAGATGATTATAATGCAGCATTCATAGAAAAAGCAAGCCTTACCTTGTGACAGACGACATGATCCAGTGACTTCACATCCATTCACAGTGCAGTGTGCGCCATGAACTGGTCGCAGTGTCACAATCCCACAGTGGTTGTCTATCATACAATGATCCCTTTCAATCCACCGTCCCTGCAAAACTACAACGTATAGATTTATCTCACCTGTTGAAGGGGTTGGGTTTGCACTATTTTCCTCACAATGAAGTACCACACACTGTTTGACACTATGACCGCATACTTCATACCTCAGAGAACTATGTCATGTGCAACAAGGAGATGAAATTGTCATCTTTGATGGCTAGCCAAGTACTCACTCACAGAAAAACTTGATTAAAAACAGTGAGATTGCTCTTTTAAAGTATTTGTGGTTCTGGAAAACTATACACTACTTTCTGATTTGTGAGCTGATGTGCAAACTCTTCTATTGTGCTGAATTTTCTTATTGCTATTATGTCACTTACTGTTTATATTTTACTAATCTACTGGCAGAAAATAATCAAACTTAACCAAACCTACCAGAACTACCAAAGCAGAGATTCTACAAAGTTTCCAATTTCAATATAAAGTTTCAACTTTCTACCATAATTTCTAGCTCTTGATATTGACGGTTAAAATTAAGAGCAGAAATGAAATTAAATAATAAATATTCTTAATAATTTGGATTTTATATCTAAAATACTCTGCCGAGGTAGAGTTGAAAAGCATTTTCAATGTCTCATGATCACTTGTGCCAATAGTTTAGTATAGAACATACCAACATATGGACGTTGGATGAAGATATTTTTAAACTCTCATGTAGCATTTCACAAGTGGGAAGAAAGTTCTGACGAGATCTCAATTAGGTCAAGACCGTTGACTTTTTGACCTCTTAAACAAAACCAAAAATAACTGAAATATTTTAGCCAACTTAATTATTCCCTTCTACTTACCTTCTTCTATAAAGAAAGCTGACAAACAGAAACATTACCTAGCTATTACACATGACAAATGTAAACATCTTGGTTTGACCTGACCATATCATAAAACAATTTGTAATATCATTCTCTTACCAATGTCTTGATCTTGGTCTGAATCACTTCTTCCAATTTTGGTTGTTCCTTCCTAAAACAAGAAAAGAACTAATTTAAAAGTCAGTTACTGGAAGTGGATTATATAGAATAATTAAAACAACTTTGGTACAGCATCTTAGCAAATACCTGAAATAAATCACCTCTGAATGACTGAATTGTTTAGAGCAAACTCTATATACTATTTTGTAATACTTCAGCCTGCTGTCTCCCATGGCGATCCAATTACTTCTTATCTTGCAGCTATGTCAGCTTCTCTTATTATGACCCCAGTAGATGAAGTAACCCTCAGTGGATGATTTTTGGACTGTGTTTGAGATGAATATTTTTAATATGAACACACAATTCTGATCCTTTGAACTTTTACCGTGAGACTTGTTTGCAGAAATGAGATAATTCTTTTTATAAATATCCATGCAGGAAGAAAGAAGCTGCAAAACGATTATTCAGTTAATTAGGCTTTTCAGATATAAAAGTAACAGAATTTCTATTTTTTAAGGGAACTTCGTCATAGATTATGAATTCTTCAAACTAACTACTAAAGGAGAACTTTTTTCCAAAACTTATGACATTTATAGAAAGTCTTCTTGGTGATTATGGTATATGGGCAAGTTCCCAAACCTGAAGAGTCAATAACTTCAAAGAAAAGAACTGCCTAGGAACAAAAGTCTCCAGAACAAGCAGACTCAAACCATATTACAGGCCAGTGATGGAAGGCAGACAGTATTCTTATGGTATAGTGCAAATATCAATAAAACAGCATCATTTAATCAATACTATGAGGAAAAAACTACCAAAAAAAGCAATGAATTTACCACCTGTCTAGCATGTTCCATTCCTGGTTCTCTTTTTTCTTAGGAAAACAAAGCAAAATTATTTCCCAGCTTTGAAGAGACACTATACTTGATTATTGTAAACTGATTTGTGAATGTGCTCTAAAACGACTTTAGTGGCAACCCTTTCAGTCATATTAAAATTAATTATGGTCATTAAACTACTTGATTTTTGTATTCTAATTAGAATAAATTGAATACGCTTTCTGCTCCAAGCACATTATCACCTAGATTTAAAGATGAAGCAAGAAGTAGTAATCGGAAACCTGAAGACTGGGAAAAGGGAAGCTGATGATTACTGTAAGATGATGCAATCATGGGTAATTATGGGTAAATCACAGTGGTTTTGTGAATTGGAGGGAAATCATTCAGTTCCTCACAGAGTTCAGCTGTCTGAACCAACTAACAGAGCCTTCTGCTACAAGCCCTGCTGAGACTCCCTTGCTGGAGGGGCTGAAAGCTGGATGTGCCCAGTGCCCCTCCTTTGGAGCAATTATCAAGTTACATGTCAGCTTAATGGTCAGTGGCCTCAACCACAAAATATCCACCTGGCTTGGCCACAACTTGTAGAAAACTTATAATCCATATGGCCTTTGACTCACCTCATACAATCAAGTGAGTTAGCAACATGTATTTTATACAAATAAAAGTAAACCAACTCCTAAAAGACCTCTTTATCAATTACCTTTTCTTGACTAAACAAAGAAATAGCTATTGTAATTCCAAAAGAAACTTTTTTCCAATGTGCTGAAATAACTCTCTGGTAATACAATTTAATTCAGAAAAGTGTATTACAGCAGTATTGGCTCATGAAATTCACCATAGTATCCCAGTTAGTGGAGTGATTCTGGGTGAGTTTAAGCACAACTAAAAATTGCAGCTGAGAGCAAGGGTACAGATCCAATACAAGCAAACTATCTCAACATAAAGAAGAAAATAAAACAAAAATAGTCATAACCCAGGCCCATGTCGATTTCATTTTTTCAAATGCTATTACTGAGCTAATATTTTAAATATTTATACTTTTCCCTAATTTAATATTTAGTATTCCACCTGAAAAAGTGAAAGACAGATGATTCAGATGAAATGATTGCACAACTTCACCTTAATATATCGAGGTACATCTTCATACCTGTTGAAGTGGTTCTACATTGTCACCCTCTTCTGGCAGTGTTTCCTGTCTAAGGGTAGCATTCCCAAGGTGCATTACAGAACCATAAAGAGTGAGACTGCTTTCCCCCTTCAGATTTAGGAGTACTCCAACTTTCAAAAAAGTTTTTGAAGTGCATCTTTTTCTTAAACAATATAAACGAATCCCATACTTTTAAGCTATGCAAAAAGGTCAGTTAGATTATAGGGAAAACATACATTTTTGTTAATGAAAGCCAGAAAAAAAAGAACAGAACCTAAGAAAGAAAGGTTCTTTAAGCACAGGCACAGCATTGATTAGTACAATTAACATTATGGAATATCAAGAGACTAAAAGAGTAACACATTGTTTATTCTACATGATCTGAAAACTGCTGCCACGACCTCTCCATAAAAGGACAAAGTGCTGTTTTATGTCGAAGCCCTAGTATGTAAGGAACCACTAATGTTTTACCTTCTTGCTGTTCAGATGAAGGTAATAGACACCAGAGTCTAAAAGGTGCAAAGCACAAAGAAAAGAAAAGGCAGCATCTAGGAGCAAAGAAACGGGACAAAGATGTTAGTGTGACAGAGATACTAATGACTATAGAAGGTGACCCTTCAAACTAGGGTTCTCCATTAAAATGAATATCTTTAAATTACTTCAGGTGTTGTCAAAATTAGTATGTGAAAAAATTTGCTGTTTCCAAAATGGCACATAATGGAAAGACATTTAAGTAGTAGCAATTACTTTTAATAAATATTTAATGTTAATGTAGGATTGAGTAATCAAGTTGCATGTTCATCAGCACTGGACATTATTACTTGGTCCCTGATTATTACTTGGTACAATTTCTTTGTGCTGGCATGAAGAAAATTAGTAAGGTTTCTCTTTCAACATGATGAACAGCAGCATGATTTCTGTTTCAAATATTTGTTGCAGCTTTTTAAAGGAAAAAAAAAATCCCATGTCCCTAAACTATATCAAGTAGCACAAAACCTAGATTTGGATTAAGATATTTTATTAGTAGACAGATAGATGATTTTCAACCATGTTTAACACATTTAACACATTTTTTACTAATGAGTGCATTTCTGTAGAGGTACCCATTCATCATTCCTTTTACGTTAAGCAGCATCAATATTTCAGTAATTTCCATTAATTTAAACAACATTAAAAACTTAAAGTCCAGCTTAGCACTGACTTATTAAAAAAAAAAAAAAAAATCCCCTAAAACCTAGCCATGTATATCATAAGCCTCAATGTGGAGTAATATACATACAATGTTATGAAAGCTCCTTGGTGCCTTAAATGAACAGCTACACAGCAAAACAGTATCTATGAGGGCAGGATTTCTACCTGATACTGGAAAATAGCCAATCAAGTGGGATCACAAGTAATTAGCATTCAAGTTACACACCTGGAATCCACTTGGCAGGCCTCATGGGGTTAAAAGAGCAATATATAGAAGTCATTGTCAAAGTGAGCTTGTGCTTGTTAAAGCTTACTTTTATCTTTGATCTACACATATACAAGTATTCCAGTCTCAAGCATACAAGTACCTAGTAAAATCTGGACCAGTATGTCTGGTATACTTTAAGCACCATCCTTTACGTTTACACACGCACACACACAGACCTGTCCTCATGCTTTGTGGACAAACTACTAATGCCTAATTTGAGTATTTTGCTTATGATACATTATCAAATAGTTTGCACGTGCATTCATAAGAGGTCAACTTATTATTCCATATATGAATTCTTATCCTCCTCCATTTTCAGGTATCATCTTTTAATTTTTTCCCCGTTATCTGTGTCTTGTGGACTGTGGCCTTTACTTTTTGATAGCTGTTGTTGTAATGCCATCTTAACCACTCTCTGTTTCCAAAGAAAATAAATGTTTTCAAATTCAAGGGAAAAATAAGACAAGTGACAATATCTCACCCTGAGATGATACAGCACCACTCCTGTGCTGAGGATATCATCATCCATGGCCATTAGATGAGGTAAACTAGAATCTATTGTTACTCCAGCTTTTTCTTTGTTGATGTCCACACTGTATTCTTCCATAATGGCTTTCCTGTCTGTCCACTTACTTGTCCAGTCTTTGGTCAACTGCTCAATCTTAAAGAATAGGAGGGGAAACTGTTTTACTTACTAAGCAGGTTAATTTTTCTCATACATAAATTTCTGCAGAATGAACAGCATTTTTTTCCAGTTACTGGATGCAAAATTCTTTCACCACTTGCAATGCTGGTGTATTTCTAATTGCAGTACATTTCTGTGGCAACAAAAAAAATCTAGTAAAAACTGTACTACCACCTAGTGGAGTAGGTTTAATCTATTGAAGACTCATTCCCCAAATAGCATGAACATATATCTTTCTGACAACTAGTTATTTTGCCTGTCTTTAAGCAAAACTTAAAATTAAGATCTCCAAAACCTCTCCAGGTCACCAGTGATCAAATCTTCTTAGTAATTTGGTGACTGCACAATAATTTCCTTTAAATAAATTGGAGGAGTTTAATCTTAGAAGACAGAGGCTCTGTATAATGAACTACTGTGATATATTGAGACAGCTTTCAAACAAGGAGTAGATAGTGCAGACTTAGTGATAGGCAATGGACAGTATCCAATTAAGGACATGAGACTTTAATCACAAATTGGTAGAGAGCACCCAACATGCTGACCTGGTTTCAGCTGGAAGAAAGTTAATTTTCTTCCTAGTAGCTGGTATAGCGCTGTGTTTTGAATGTAGTATGAGAATAATGTTGATAACACACTGATGTTTTAGTTGTTTCTAAACAGTGTTTATACCAAGTCAAGGACTTCTCAGCTTCTCATACTGCCCTGCCAGCGGAGGCTGGGAGTGCACAAGAAACTGGGAGGGGACACAGCTGAGACAGCTGACCCAAATGTTCCAAAGGGGTATTCCACACCATATGATGCCATGCCCAGTATATAAACTGGGGAAGTTGGCCAGGGGACACCACGGCTCGGGGGTTGGCTGGGCATCGGTCAGCGGGTAGTGAGCAACTGTATTGTGCATCACTTGTTTTGTATAATCTATTATTATTATTATCCCTTCCTTTTTCTGTCCTATTAAACTGTCTTTATCTCAACCCACAAGTTTTACTTTTTTTTTTCTTTCTCTCGATTCTCTCCCCTATCCCACTGGGGCAGGGAGTGAGCGAGTGGCTGCATGGTGCTTAGTTGCCAGCTGGGTTAAACCATGACACATGCATTAAGGATGGCAGTTTCCTGCATATTCAGAGCAAACAGGAAAGAATTAGGACAAAAACATTTTCACTATCATTTCAGAACTATGGCAATGCTATCTCCCCAGCCCAGTGAAACAGGAGAGACTTACAGCATCAAATAGATCAGACAAACCTTCATTTCATTCTGAAGAACCAGCTCGGTCAGAATTCCATCCCTGTCATCACTCCAAGAAGGACTGGAATTCCTCTGTACAAACAGCAGCCACCAAGATCTACATGTTAGTTTCCTTATTCACAACCAGCAGGCATGTTCTTACACTCTCCAGAATTTCAAGGAGATGAACTCAGGAGAAGGAAAGATAAAATACACAGACATTCGATGCTGCCTTCTAGCACCTAGCCTACACCTCTCTAGCTAGTGCATGCAAGTTATTTCGAACTGGTGAAAGAGTATTAACAGAGAAATACTTCTGTGTAAATAAATCCTGTAGTTCCAGTCTCTCCCAGCAAAACATGCTCTCCATGGCATGGAAAACCAAGATGCTATTATTATTCCAAAGGAGAAAACCACAAAGAGTGTCAGCTGTATTGTGAGGGCTCACAGATGTTCACAACTTCTTTTGGGGGACAGAATGTGCAGGCAAGGTGAAACCTCCAAAATACTGTTGAGGTATACCAGTTTACTTTTTGGGGATAGAGGATTGTAACAAGTCTGGCAGGGAAATTACATCAGTGATTATTATTTTGTACTGTCTTGGTGCTGCCATATCCCTACAAATAAAATTTTTCTATTTCATTATATTTTTGGACAACAAAACTATCCAACTCCATGAAAGACAGGCAAGGAAATCCTTTCTAATCATTACACAACTGCTTATACTTCAGGATTATGAATTTAATGCCAGAAAAAGGAGAAATGACAGAAATGCAATTAGCCTTATAATAATTGTGAAATCACTCAGAGAACAGTTTAATTTCCCTCCAGTTACAATAAACATGGAACAATAAACAGCTAAGATGAAAGTAAGCTACTGTAGCTACCCAAAGCACCATTAGAGCTCCAGCTGGGAAGAGTTCCTACGTACCAGTTCAAAGCTCATCAGCATAGTTTTCAACCTATCAATTTCTTCTCGCAGTTCTCTGATCAGTTTTACATTTGCATCCTGAAACATTGAGACACAGGTGTTGGAAAAATCATTCTTTAACAAATTCTAGCTAAAGAAATCAATTCAGAGCTGTTCCAAGAGCCAGGAGGAAAGGAGCACAGGCACACTCACAGCAGTACTCTTTGCTCCACTGTGCCAGGCCCCTGGGATGTACTGCCTAGGGGCAAGTGGTTCCCGTCTTTGACAGGTTCTCTTTTCCCATAAACTTTGTTCCATCTCTTTTCTGAACACAGACCTACCATAGTATTTGTTCTTGTCATGACAATAGCTAGATACATCACTACTTTTACAGATTTACCTTCCAAATAGTCCAATCAGGTCAGAAAAATGCTCTTATTTCTGTCATGCAGAGAAGAAAATCAGGCTAGAGGAGACTAAGTCAGAATGTCACCAACCATGGTATTAAAAGCCCTTGCAGCTGATACACAAAGCATTTCCAACCTGCTTGTGTGGAGGCATTTATCTCACTTTCAGAGTAAGCACCACTGCACAGGCAGTTTCTGGAAACCAGCTTTTTGTAGACAGTTCAGGGAAACTCTTGAGTCAAGGGTCAACGTTTTCTGGGCTGCCAGTGACACTTTGGCTCAGGTCAATTTGCAGTGAGGGGAAGAAGGCAGCTAGCTGAAGGGATGGAGTTAAGGGTCTAGCATGGGCTGTGCAAGAGAGTGATGGGCACACAAGTTGGGAGACTGAGAGGCTGTATGTAACAAGAGGCTAACCCAGGAGGACTGTGTTTACTTGCCTGTGACCTGTCACAGAGCTGAAAAATGCTGCTGCCAAAACCAAACACACTATTGCTGCTACTAGTGATGTCTAAAAACTAGTTATAGGTACTGGTAATACGGACACAAATTAAATTTAGGAAACCTTGGATTACAAGGGTTTCCTTCTGCCCAAGATTTAAGAGAGTATCATTAGGAAAGCAAATAAATTAAGTACATCTCTATGATTCTACCCTTTTATCCACAGATAAAATCTTGATATACCCAGGCCAAATCACAAAAGAACACTACTAAAGTTATAAAGTCAACTGCTTAAAGATTAGGAAATGCTGGAATCAAGACTTTTTTGAAACCTCAATTCAGTCCCCTTCAATGGATACACTGTGATTCAGTCCTTTAGTTATATGATCACTGTAGGATAGCAGCCTCGTGCAGAATGCCAGGTGAAGAATGCTCAGTTAAAGAGCAGCAACTCAAGAGTTTTATATTTCTAGAATATGTGATCATAGATCTTGATTATTACATGCTATTTGAATTTTTCTGTGACAAAAGACAGAATTATGCATTTCCCCATGGATTTTTCTATGCTGGTTCTCATCACTGTAGCATCTAAAACCTCCACAACTTCTAATCAGCCTGTTTTAACAGCACGTCTTTGATTGAGAGAGTTTACGTTTTTCCCATTTGATAAATATGGACTTGGGGTAAGGGTGGAGAATGAGGAACAAGCACACATTGAAAGTTTGCTTTAAGCATCTGGACTAGCACTGAACAAGAATGCTGTAGCAGGGGCAGCAACAGAATCCAGTCCTCCAAGGCAGCACCAGAGTCTCCCCTTAATATCCTGCCACCTTTTAACTTGTGCAGCCTGTGAAGGACCCCTGCACAATCAAACAGATGAATCTGCCATACAGTCAGAGTTCATACCTGGAACAGGCATATTTTGTGCAATGTATGAAGCTGGGGTTCTATGGAAAAAATTGTTCCCATGTATTTAAAGGTTTCATAATTTTGTGTACTGAAAAGAAGACAAATTGAGACTACATAGACTACCTTAGGCCTGGCGTATTAACTTTTGAATTCTTGACTTTGCAACCTTAGCAGAGTTCATTTAACATGCCAAAAGGAAGGGTTGCAAGGGTTATGCACTTACAGTAACAGGTTAAATAGTAACAAATAATCCCAACAGATCTTTAACTCTGCCAATATTTAGGATAAAGACATAGGGTAAACATACATGTCATAACAGTTCAAAGAGAAGGAGGATTGAAACTCAATGGACAGAGATGAAGAATGTAAAATAGGTGTGAAATTCTAAATGGTTTAAGCTGCAGGGGATCAAGGAAATTATTTCTGTAATATCCAGGCTCCTATTTAGCTCTCATTAACATGGGAAAAAGAGGTATGAATTTTATTCAAAGAGCTGATATACTGAATAAACCTTAAATAATACATACAACAAAATGGAACAAGAATAAAAAGCAGAACTAAAGGCCTCACCTCATTCACTCTAGGCTTGTTAATAATATTTTTGGCATTTGAAGCATATCTCAAAGTACTCATGGTCTCATTGTAGCTGGAGCTGGCAGGAGAGATAGCTACAGACAGAAAACAAATAGAAAAGAAACACTATTTTAAACAGTAATCAGTTTAACCATTCAGTTTTCAAAAGGTGGATTTTTTTAGCCTTGCTTCTTTAAAAACCAAAATCAACAATATCCTTAGGGATATTTCATCAAGCTCACAGAGAATGTCTTCTCAAGATTGTATTTATAACCGAATAAATCACTTTAAATCAAAGCTATGATCTTGGAAAGGCTCTTAAGCTTAACTTCATGCACAATCAGCATGCCTTTCAATTTTCTTGAGCATCCTATGAAGTATTTCTGAAAATCTTTACAAGGACAGATTCTAAGTGATATAGTTGTCTTCTCACTATAGTAGAGATGTATTTTTAAGGGGGTAATGTAGTGCAAAATGTTAACAATGAATAGAAACCAAACTCACTAGCAATCATAATGGTCTTGGAGTTGCCCCCCAGACTGTCCTTCAGAAGCCAGGTGAGGATGGAGTCACGGTACGGGATATAAGCCGGTCGCCTGGTCCCACTGATGCTGCCTGTGGAAGGACTGTCCGCATGACTGCTCTCCCCCTCACTAGTTATGGTGTTTATGCTCTGGCAGCTGCTGAACATCTGCGAATTTTGTGCTGAAGGAGAAGTACCACAGAGCTCAGGAAAGGGTTTATCTTTTTCTGTCATTGATATTTAATTTTCTTAGATATCATTACAATTTATGAAGATGCCACATAGCTGTTCTGTTCAGCTTTTTGTTGTAAATATAGATAAACATGGTAAGTGAGTCCTATGCTTTTATCACTACCCTTCAATATAAAGAACTATTGTGCTCACCTAAAGTGGAGATGACAATTCCAAGTGTAACTAACGACTTGTTAATATTGGCACCTTCGGTAATTCGATCTTTACAGTAACTGGGATCAGCTCTTTCGCTGTAGAACACAAGCATGGAAAAGACATTGCAAACCAAACAAAAATGCTTAATTATTAACATACAATAAATATGAAAACATTATGTATTTTCCTGACATACAAGAAAACAGAAGTTGCAAACTTTGCAATTAAAAAAACACATATGCTTTGAAACAACCACGAGCAAAGGCCATTGGTGCAAACTACTGTTAAAGACCCATCAAAACATAAATTCAACCCTGAACTGTGCAACCCAGTCATAGTGGTTCTGAATTAAAAAAAAAAACCCTAAACATACATTTCACAACAAGGGTAGACAGGCTCAGTGCAAAAGTCTGTATATCCCCTCAACACTACTTTCTCTGCTCAGACATGCATGGTGATTTATGTTCTTGAGAAAGAAAAATGTCCTCTTCTCCAACTGTTCTATACATCTTCAGCACAACTTCCATCTTTCTGTTCTCTATCATATCCAGCATAACCACATGTTCCTCACTGAAATGCATAGTTAAGATCAGAGACTTAGGAACATTTGGAACATGAACAACATAAGCAGTGAGATACGACTATTTTCTTCCACCCATGCTAGGCAGCCATGAGGAATACATTCCTTTTTTTCTCTTTCTTTTCAAGCTCAGATTTGGTAATTCCAACAATAGCTACTGGAAAAGCCACTTAATAAGAATACAGGGTTGAATGGAATTACCTTAAATGTATGCAACAGAACAGTATTGGATCTGAGGACCCAGGAATTCCCTTCCCCAGTGAAATCCAATACCCAATACAGAAGAACAGATGACAGAGACAATATTAGCTCAGTATTCCTTGTTATCGTATAAAAAAGTCAGGCTTATTGTTAGTTTAATGAAGTTTGAAAATACTAAATTTCATCTTTTAAGGCAGTACTACCAGCATCTTTAGAGAAAATTACCTTTTTGCCCCTCAGTATATTATTACCTGCCTGCAAGGTCCACTAAATTGATCTTGCTTGCAATTTCAGAAGGGAGATTGTTTTCTAATATAGCCTGAAGAGAAAAATATAAATAAGGAAGATTATTCCTCTTAATTAATGAAAATAAAATAGATGTGCACTCTTATTGAAACTGAGTTGTACATATGACTGTCTCACTGCCTTTCTTTGTGACTCTGACCCACTGACTATGTTCAAACCATTAACTCAACAGCTTTCTCACCCATCAGAGAAACTACCCTCTTATGCCTACTTCCTCTTGAAAAAAACCTTTACTGCCTAGTGACTGTGAAAGGCTTCCTTGTAGATCTTGCAGAGTTATTTTCCACTAACGTATTCCAAAGGTCTTTTGTGAAACTACTGAAAAATACCCCCAAATGTTCTGTGATTACAGGATGTTAGAAGTGTGAGATAGAAAAGGTCTATTGGATCACTAAACAACTTCCCTGCCAGGGAAGGATATAATTCCTCCAGAGAAAGGGTGCATTGTCTCTGGGAGAGTACTGGGTGCCAAATGCTAAAGAGATGAGCACATCTGAAAAGCTGGACAGATACAAAATTTTGGTAAGTGTTAAACTAATGTTATACTTCAGTTAAGGATCCTAAACAAGTGTAACAAAACGTAACTTCAAACATATTCACATGCAATTTTCACAGCATCCTAGAAGGGGTATTGCATTTCAAAGGGCTGATGAAGACTTTAAACATTTCTTTTTACAGTGAGTGTTTGGCATCACTTCTGACTATAAGCTTGCATAAAGGAACAAGAACACACTCAATAAACACTCAACACGTCAGGCGGTGTAGGAAGCGTAACACATCTGCAGTGTGATCCAAAGGAAATAAGTAACAGCTTCCACCGAGATTATTACAAACAGCACAAAACAGTGACAAGTAAACAATGCACAACACATTGAACAATGCTTCTGGAGAGTGAAAAGGAAGCTGGATTATTTTTAGCTAACCTGAGTATAGTGGATGGTGAAGATAGCATGGGATCTGCTGCTGGCATTGTGAATATGTGTAGCTGCTGTGATTCTAGAAAGAAGAACAAACCATTCAATTACAAAGGCTTATTTCCCTGTATTCCGGGAAAGCAAAAAAAACCCCAAATACAGCAGATAAATGAAGATGAAGGAATATGAAACTTGGAGAATATGGTAGGCTGTGTTCTTGGATCTGATAACAGTGTGTTTGGCAGAGGACCTGGAAGGGTGGAAACCAAGGATCAGTTAGAGGTGTTTTTGTCCACCAGCAGCACTCTGAAGAAATACCTTAAAGCAGCCTTACAGCACAGGTGTCAGGTGTTGCATAAGGGTAGAACACAGCAGAGAAGTACAGCCAGCAACAGCATCGTACAGCTCATCCCCAACACCACTGAATGTACTGGCCAAGTACATTTTCTCCATATTGTCCCCATCTTTATTTCTTGGCACTTCAAAGGGTCCAAAAAGGTTTGTACACCACTTCTGGGGCTCCCTTCTGTCACAGTGCTGACACAGTAGTTTTACGCTGTTAGAGGATTCCGATGAGATTAGCCAATCTACCCATGTGAGTACCAAACGAATACTGTAATTCACTACTGTAGCACTTCCTTGGCTTTACCACATGGACAGACTAGTCATCCAGCTCTAGCCCTCTGACCCACTGCACTCCGGCTAGCAGGTACCAGGCACAGGAAGAGAAGGAGCAGTGGCACTCTCCCACTGTCTCTGTTACATAAACTTTTGGAAATTCTACTTTCTTTGTTGTTGTTTTGATTAGACAAACCCAAAGAAAGCCGAGTTTTGCCTAGGGCAGAAGCCAGGTCACAGGTCTTTTCCTTTGTCACTCTTGTAGCTTGCCTTGAATATTGGCTATACGCGCAGCCTTTAGCATCAGTTTTGCCAAGCTTACCCTCAACAACATCAGGCAGTTTTAGTAGTGGAGAAAAGGACTGTGGAACCACGTTTTTGTTATGAGCCCAGCTGTCAGAGTACTGCAGAGACCAGTTGCACTAGAGAGCCGCAGCTGTGCGGACGACGCTGAGCGCCTGCCGCAGGAGGCCAAAGCCAGGACTCTCCTCTCTATTGCTCACTGCGTCCTACACCTCCATAGCCAAGTCAGCAGGCACCAAAAGCTACAGGCAGTCTAGTGCATCATGGTTATAAGTGAGCCTAAGCTGAGGAAGCAGGAGAATGCGAGCTAGTCTCCAGACGTTGGAGGAGGAAGATAAACAAATAGGTAAAGGGCAGAAGACAGCAAACAGCTCTACAGTGGGCAGAGAATATAAAAGAACAGCACTTAAGTTTATAACACAAAAGAGAAATAGAAAGTGCCCCAGGATTTGGAGGAGGAAGTGTTAGTACTTGCTTCTCACCTCCAACAATACGCAGGGTAATTAGAGGGCAAGTTCACATCTCAACTGCTCACAACCCGTGTGAGCATTTTTAGGGGAGAATGTATGTGTTAGTTTTTCATATATTCTATTTCACTGTGGCACGTAGTGTACATTTTAATATTTTTAGCTGTTGTAATAACATTATCTAGATTCGTTGGTTATTTTGCTTTACAGAGCACAAGAGCTATGCTTTTGGAAATTTGTATTTCCTGCATTTCGAAAATTTTATTCTTAAGCATTTGAGACTGAGTCTTGCAAAGCATTAAGATAAAAAAAAATAATAGCACTGAAAGTTACAACAAAAACAATGACTGCATGCTGAAAATCATATTTGTTTATTTTATAATGGACAGGTGCAACCAGAGCAGGGCTAGAGATGGCTTGATAAAAAAACTGATAGAAAAAAAAATGCCTCCAGTAAACTCTGCTTGTTGTTAGTACAGCAGCTGCCCTCTCCCCCATGAAAGGCACCACCCATGTTCAAGGGGAGCTTCCTCTCTTATCTTTCCTGTATAGCCAGACCTGGAACCATCATGCCCCATCTGCTCCTCTCCTGCCTCCAGCTGTATGGGGCAACTGCAACCTGTTCCCCACCTTTATCCTTAAGATCTTGCTGATGTCCATTTGACACAATTTCCCAGACTGCGGATGTTTTAAATTAGTTTGTTTGCTTTTATAATGTGCTAATAAATGCTCTGCAGAATATTTCATAAAAATAAAGACTATAGGTAAAAAGGAGTTTCCTGTATATTCCAAATAAATTTTTGAACAGTTACTCAGAAAAAGAAGTTGCTTAGTTTCATGCAAGTGACAAAATTTAAAACTTCAGCATCACAAGAACTTACACACAAAGTAATGAACCTCTGATTTAGTTTTCTCTACATCTTCTACTTCCTTAGCAATGAGACAACTGTAGGATTACACTAGTAGACAGACTGGAATTTTGCTGTTATTCTGAAAAATTCTCCTCTTACCGTAGAGTTGCATCTATTGATCACTACAAGCAGAAGCATCAAAACTTAATCCTGCTGTATATTCTATGTTTATGTGATAACGCAGCTTAGTTTTTTATTTACTTCCCAGCATCACTGATATCTAAAATCTCAACCTCTCCTATGATAAGACTTAACACCAATTTTGGAACTGTGATTTGTATTTGGAGGATCCTTTCAAATATAACTCTTTTCTATCACTGTAATGGCAGTTGCATTGGTATCCAAGGCTCTCTGTCAAAAAAGTAAAAAAGTGTCTTGACTACTGAGAGCCAAAATCATTGGCTTCACTAGTGTGCCAATTCCCACAGTTCTCTCATAGCGAACGTGCATGATTTGGACTAAGAACTTTAAAAAATACTTATAAAAATTAAAGCAAATAATTATAAGACAAATATTTTTAGAAATTAAATAAAAATACACTATCTTTTCAGCAGTTTTAAATCACTAAGTTACACTAACAAGCGAGTTGAAAGCTATACAGTCTAAAGTGTCATGAGCAAGTGGAGGAGAAAAGTGGAAGTCTGTTTACACCAAAACGTTTCCCTGGCATGCATTTTTTATCCCAGATAGATGGTTGAATTTTGTGGGTAAGTCAGCATAGGATCAGTTTTGAAGAAACAACTTCACGAGTGCTTGTAGCTCTTGCTGGGGATAATATGAGGATAGGTAACATCTTATGTGCACGTCATGTACAGGATCAGCAAATCTGATATCCTGTCACAACAAAGCATTGGCAACACTGTTAGTAAAATAAACATCAATGAAATCAACACATGGTGAAAAATGTGTTAAAGATGGAGCTGGTTTGTTTTATAAAATACCTTTTAGCTATTCCTTCTTCTAGAAGTTCTACAACTTGCTTGTAGTCTGTAACTAAATGTTGAGTCAATCCTGCCAAAGATTTAAAAAGAGTTAAATGCATATTTTTCTCAGGAAGTTTCAGTCAGTTTACCCAACAATTTACCCAACATCAGAAGCATAAGGATGTTCTGCTGCGATGCCAGTCTGTTCTACAAGTGGTCTCTCAACTAGAGTAACTATTTTATTTAAAAAAAAAAAAAAATAAAAAATTGCAGCCCATCCTTCAGATGCAGTGACATCAGTTTAAAAAATGACTTGTACCTTCAGAGTACAGACCTTTTTCAAACTTGTCTGCAGAACAACGGTATTTAAAAAACAGTATAACTGAAACTCCGTAAGAAATTTTCAGCTGTGTCACTGCTACTAACTGGGTACAGATCCTGTAAAGAAGCTTTTTGCCATTGCTTCTGGATAATGGCTCTGCTCGTGCAACTAACAGAATTAGGAACCAACCCCTGCGAATATTTACCATTTACCGAACAAGGCTTCAGCCTGCAACACTAAGTCTTCATGCTCTTTTCTCCCCAGAGGGTACCCAAATAATGATATGAAACGTCGGGCCTTTTGATATCTTCTGCTTTCAGGTTTGTTTTTTTTTTTTAATCTGATTTTATTTTCAAGGGGGAAAAAGCCCACTGAAAACAAATAAAAGAAATACTGCATTGCAGAGCCTGCTGTGTCAGAGTGGTGGTTGTGACTAACAGGGCCCCAGTGGAGGGCAGTGTGCTGCTGTGCTGTAGCGGACCTGCCAGCCCCTTGCAAATTCCAGCAGACACGCAAAATCAACCTCAACAGGCTTGTATTTCACATAAATCCGGTTTAATATGCCTCATTTGCATTTTATGGTGATGATTAGTTATCATCTGTACTGCAGTGACTCTTAAAAAAACCACCTGAATTGAGAAGCAAGTCTTCGTCATACAGTATCTAGTAAAACACTCCTTTGCAGAATGTTTTATCTCACAGCTGGAATCCCGGGCTACTTCACACAAACACACACTTATTTAGGTTTGGTTTGTTTTATTGCAGGCCACGAAAGCATGGATGAAGGCAGAGTATTGAAAAATGTGATTATTTGGATCAAATCATTTATCTACTGCTAAAATGTAAGTCAAGATGAATATAAAATTCAACCAGCCTGAAATAAGTTCCTTCTGACATTGTTAGAGAGAGTCTATACTTACATCATAACAGCTTACTTAATTTCAAATGAAAGCAAAATCTAAGCCAAAGATGGGAATTTGTTTTAGTCCTTTAACAACTGATACACATAAAGAAAAAAAAAGATTTTTGAATCACCCACACTTTTAAAAAACCCCCTAACTGTAGTGTGCATGCATGCGCACTTGCACACACACACAAAATATAGGCTGATTTTCAAACAAAAGCATTTCTTCTGCTCTCTAGTGTCCCTTTACAATACATTAATTCCAGAAGTCATCACATTTTCCATTTGAGAAAGAGGGCCATTATTTTTCCAACAGCACTGGGATCTTCAAAGATTAGAATATGGAAAATATCATATATTGTTTTCCCAGACCCTTTTTCAGGGTCTTATGTAACTGAATAAAAATCCAGTTATAAAATGGAGGCATGGAAGAAATTCTTACCTACCTACATTTCCATTACTACTAGAATAGTGATTCTAGCACAGAGTTCAAAACATTTAGTTTTTCAATAAGGTAAATGAAATATTGTAAATGTTGTTTGAAAAGAAATGACAAAGTGTTCTGTTGGCTGCTACAAAAAGAAAGTAATTTTCAAGTCCCATAGAAAGATCAAAAACACTTGCTCATCTAGAAATCTGCCTTGGAATAAGAAAGGATCTCCCTCAGAAATCTCTCAGGGTAACAAAATAGATTGCATCATTTCCTGATTTAAGAGAGGCTGATTCCTTAACAGTGCAACCATCTGTGAGGGAGAAGTTTGAAACAATTCCAACCCAAAGCACTGAAACACTTTCAGCATTTTAAAGGCTACAATCTCACAGCCTTTACATGGAAAAATGATGGGCTGGAAACTATTCAAAATACCCAGTGTTCAGAGTTAGGACTTCCTGACTGGACTTGCAAATGGAAAACGCATTGTCCAGAGCACCTAAGCATCCTTAGAGGGGTTAAGTTTTCCAATTTTCCTCTCTGTCTGTTCTTCATCCACTGCTAACTGTACTCTGAATATCAACACCAACCATACAACTGACAAACTAATGGTACACCGGGGAGCTTCTGATCAAAATCAGCAGACCTTAAAATTGCTGATAGCTTGCAGGAAGTATGATGCAAATACAGATGCTAGTCCTTAACATACAGGATCTACGGAAAATAATGGAAAATTTCTGGGCTTTGCTGATGTTCACCATTTTTACTTCTCCCATACAGCAAATTGCCTAGAGGGAGAATACAAAACAAGCTCCCCTTCTAGTAAGCTTGCTGATAATTCTGATCTCAGCCATCCAGCTATCGGAAACAATATTGTTGCGTTCTGATCCTGCACAGAGAGAGACTACGTATAAAACTGCCAAAGACTACTTCAGCACATAGCAGGCACTCCTTACAGAGATCAGCAATTGATGATAGCAACAATGTATTACTGCAGGTGAGAAGGGCATTTTGTACCAGTGTTGAGAACCGCTTCATTTTCTTGAATTTGATGTTATTAAAATCAAGCTGACTGTACTCCTCACCTGCATTCAAAAGACCTCTGGACTTCCGCACTGCTGCTTATTTTTGATGTGAGCTAATGAGTGCAGTTCCAAAAGGAGCTATGTAATCACACCTTCTTTATTAGTCCCTCTCCCTAAAAGACAGCAGGGTTGTCTCAAGTAAAGCAAACTGCTGCAGTTCTTAATTGCGTAAACTGTACATAAACATATTTATTTTTAATATATATTTATATACACATACCTAAATAAAGAACTATGTCATCTGACTGTTGCCCTAAGCCACTGACTCATCAGCATGAAATCACTTCTGTTCACATGGTCTCACAACAGCACCTAATTACACCCCATGATGCCTTCAGCAGCGAAATTACTTCATTTTTCATGCACACGATCAGTTTTTCTAAAAATGCGAATCACATTTATCATGAAAATTAAATTTTTCTTACAGGCATTAATAAAATGATTTTTGGAGGCTGTCATAAGATACAGAGGGAGAGAATCTTCTAAAATGAAGTATTCACACTGGATTTACAAATATGGTCAAAGCTGGCAAATAATATTTTAGGTTAATCTTTTTCCACTATCCTTTCCTATTATTTTCAAAATCTAATCAACTGGGAACTTTTATGGGATATTTCAGAACTCTAGCATAGAATTGTTCCATTCAATTTTTAGTTGTGTCTAAGTATAAAATCCTTATACAAAAGGGGTAAAATTAAGTTAAAAAAAACAACAAACCACCAACCAAAAAAAGCAGAACTGGAAAAGAAGTGACAGATTTGGCCTGGAAGGTTCTAGATGAAGACAAAATAGTGACAAAAGGCAAGCCAGCCCACTGGCAGAAGCTATAACTTCATTTTCTTTTAAAACAAGGAAACTCCATTATATGCAGCCAAGGAATCACTGGAGATATAAGGCCTGAGAAAAGGGATGGAAATTGCCAAGGAAGGAAGCAGTTTAAAGGCCTTTTCTTGTGTGGTGAAGGAGCAGCTGCTAAAAGAAAATAATTAGTATCTGTACTCCACCAACAATTAAGTTCTTCGATAACAAGCAGGTAGAAAGAAAATCTTGGAAAGACCTCAATAAAGGCCAAATGTCTATGAATCTGCTTTTCAAAGAATGGTAAGTTTGCCATACTAATGAGACCATCAATTCATCTATTTTCCAACTCTCTTTAAACAGGATGCTGATGTGCTGGGAAAGCACAGCTGAAGTAACCATAATGCCAGATAGTCCCTTGTGTATAGGACCATGCAAGTTCAACACTTTCCAAGTGCTTATTTCAAATTTTGAGAGGAGGAATTGGTAACAACCATTGGTTGTTAGATGAGCTATGACGGATCCTGCAGGTGCTGAGTGAATGAGAGCTGGGAATTCCAGGCTCCATTCAGTCACACAGTCAAGTCACCCTATCTATTATCACACCTTGCCTTAATCTCTGAAGTGAGGATAACAATCTGACATGTAATGCTGTGATAAAGAAAAAGAGAGAGAGAAAAGTTAACCGGAGATAACAAAAGGAATTCACAAAACAAACAGAGAGAACTCTATTTAAAAGCCAGAATAAATCAGTATTTGATCTGATGTGACAGGACCAATAAAATTCTGTGATATGCGCTTTGCGTACTAAATGCTTACTCCCCAGGTGTTACTACCCACTTGGTGGCCAGCCAAGCAGTTGCAGAGTCAGTGATACCAGAGGCAACTTTGGAATTCTGTCCACTAGATAAAAGGCACACTGAAAAGAAAATATATGCATTTACTTTCTAAGCAAACTCACTAATTTTGGTACTTGCATCAGTTTGGAAAAGGCTTTTCCTTCAGTTCTCCACTGTAAAGCTACTCTGTATGATTTTGCACTAGTGCACTGATTTTTTGAGAGTGTCCAGGGTTCAGCTAGGATAGAGTTAATTTTCACAAGAAGCTGGGAGGGGACACAGCTAGGATAGCTGACCCAAAGTAGACAAGGGGATATCTGATAGTCCTTTTTGGAGCCTAACGTGGGTCTCACAGGGTTGAGATAATGACAGATCTGACCAGAGCATGTCGAAACAAAATTGTTATATGCATTTCTTACATTAGTTAAATAGTCACCGGTCACAATGTTGGTTCACTTGTTCACATGGTGGTGTTACGTAAATCCTCATATGCACTATGTATTCCCTGTGGTGATGTTTATCACCTTTGGGACAGGGATCAGGACTACCATTTTGCTGTAATGGGTAACGTTGACTTATGATGTATCACCGGTCATGAGGTTAAGCTGGTGTTTGTATGCAGCATTGTTGCCATACCCACACCTCGGGTGCCTTCTATTGAAATTTATTAGTAACTGCACCCAATCTATGGGGAAGAGGCAGGGGGGATACTTTCTCCTGCTCTTTCACCTCCCCTTTCTCCTTCAGGCTAATTACAACAGCTTTTGAGAATTTTGAATAAGCTTGGGATGTTGAAGCCAGTATGCTCTTATTGCTATATCTTCTGAATATGTCTCAGGTCTTGTTTAGGGTTACACAAAAATTTTTTATGAATACCATCCAGAAAGTCTGGACAGTCATGGGTGGCATGGCATGTGGGAGAATATGGGCAGGTATCTAGAGAACTTCTCACCTCCAGTGGTTTGGAACTTCACTCCCAAACATTTACAAGATCCTGATGAAGTGCTATAATATTTGAAAGGAAAACACTGTGGCTATTCCCAAAAGGCACAACTTACTGCACTGTGCTGGGCCCTGGCCAGTATCTACCAAACACTGCTTGATATTAATCAGCACCCTGAGGGGAAAGGGAGGGAAAACAGACCAACAGGCACTGTGACTATTCCAACCCTCGTGACAAGCACTGCAGCTACCCCAGCCCTGGCGACAGGCACTGCAGCTGAACCAGAGAAGCAAGCTGTGCTGGTATCAGTTGCCCGTATGCAGAAGAAGAAATAATAAAAAAAAAACAAACCAGTTTGCTTAATGAAAGATGAAGGTAAACCAGGGTCATCAAGAGGACAGGAGGAAGAGGCAGAACCAGAGATAATTGCCTGATCCCAGTCCCTGAGCAAGCTGTGAGATGTATGAAAGGATTTCAGCTGCTATCCAGATGAGCACATTGTTACCTGGCTGCTCCGATGCTGGGATAACAGGCCCAGTAGTTTGGAATTAAGGGGGTAGGAGACAAGCCACTGGGATCCCTGTCTAGGGAAGGGGGCATTGACAAGGTGACTGGAAGAAAGACACAAGCCCTCAGCTTCTGGAGGTGACTTCTGTCAGACATGAAGGAAAGGTACCCCTTCAGGGAAGAAGTTACATGTCACCAAGGCAAGTGGACTACCATGGAGAGAGGTATCCAGTACCTGAGGGAATTAGCCATGCTGGAGATTATTTATAACGATCCAGATAACGAGCAGTTACCCACAGAACCAGATGAAGTCCAATGCACACAACCCATGTGGTGGAAGTTTCTACAAAGGGCACCACCATCGTATGCCAACTCCTTGGCAGTAATGACCTGGAAAGAAGGTGAGGGACAAACAGTGGATGAAATGGCTGGCCAACTCCAGCAATATGAAGGAAGTCTCTCTTCCTCCTTACAGGCCTGCATCTTGGCTGTGGAGAAACTGCCCCGGGAGTTCCAGCAATTCAGAGAGGATACGCCCTACTCCCTACTTGTACAGGCCCGTATCTCAGCTATTAGGAGCAAGTGTTCCTCTGCTCAAGAGAGAAGATACAGAAGGTACACACAATGGGGTAACCTGTGGTTTTACCTGCATGACCATGAGAGGACATGAGGAAGTGGGATGGAAAACCTGCCTCAACCTTAGAGTCACGGGTACATGAGTTGCAAGGAAAAACAATCACAAAAGGGGATTCTTCCTGGAAAAATCCTGCTCCAGTTTCCAGCGGGCAGTTCCCCAGACAGAGTGGAAGGGCTGATCTCACTTCTGATCCTCTTGAAGGGATTTCTGATTCATGTTTACAAAAAGCGAGTAACAAATACTATGACCAGGATTAGAGGAGCCCTGCCTCCAGCCAGGTGGAAGAAGGGGACAACCAGGTTTATTGGACTGCGTGGATTTGATGGGTTGGCACATCAGACCCACAGGAGTATAAGGCTTTAGTGGACACCGGTACGCAGTGTACCCTGGTGCCATCAAGCTATAACGAGGCAGAACCCATCTGTACTTTTGGGGTGACAGGGCAATCCCAGCAGCTAACTGTATTGGAAGCTGAAGTGAGTCTAACTGGGAATGAGCAGCTGCTGTACGGAGTTCTATATGACAAGTCGCAGAAACTGCTGAAGGAGAAGGTGAATTGAGCCAGTTTGTGGAAATGAAAGCCATCCAGCTAGCTTTAGACATTGCTGATCAAGGAAAATGGCCAGTGCTCTATCTCTATATTGACTCATGGATGGTGGCAAATGCCCTGGGGGGGGTGACTGCAGCAATGGGAGCAGAGCAACTGGCAGCGCAAAGGCAAACCCACGTGGGCTGCCCCACTGCGGCAAGATATTGCTGCCTGGCTAGAGAAGCTGGTTGTAAAAGTACATCACTTAGATGCCCACGTACCTGAGTCAGGCCACTGAAGAACATCAAAACAAGCAGCAGGTGGATCAGGCTGCTAAGATTGAAGTGGCTCAGGTGGATTTAGACTTGCAACATAAGGGTGAATTATTTATGGCTTGGTGGGCCCATGACACCTCAGGCCATCAAGGGACAGATGCAACATATAGATGGGCTTGTGATCGAGGGGTGGACTTGCCCATGGACACTATTGCACAAGTTATCCATGCATGTGAAACGTGCTGCAATTAAGCAAGCTGAGCGGTTAAAGCCCCTGTGGTATGGAGGGCGATGGCTGAAATATAAACATGGGGAGGCCTGTCAAATTGACTATATCACACTCCCACAAACCCACCAAGGCAAGCACTTGAACTTTTACATACTGTAGAAGAGGATAAAGTCCCTGTAGTGCACATGAAAAATATGTTAGGGAAGACAGTCTGGGTTACTCCTGCCTCAGGCAAAGGTAAACCCATTTGTGGGATTGCTTTTGCTCAAGGACCTGGGTGCACTTGGTGAATGATGCAGAAGGATGGGGAATTTTGATGTGTACCTCAAGGGGATTTGATTCTGGGTGAGAATAGCCAGGGAATTAAATTGTATGATGTTAATCACTAAATAACCCTGCCACTGTATGTCATCACTGCTGCAGTTGCTATATGCCATATCAATGATATTACAGTAAGAATCACCCAAATTAATGAAGGATGGACTTTGATGGAACCGAGCAAAGTGCGGTGGTGATGGAACTTGAACTGGCTTCAGCAACTGGCACCCAGCAACTTCCTCAAGATCATCATCTTCAACCTGCAGACCGTGGGCATGGGCTGCACCAAATACACCAGCCATGAGCTCTGGATGCAGCATGCAAAAATCCAACATCACACACCACACACTCCATCTCTCCTGCCCTGAAAGACTGTTAGGACAGATGGAGCCCTAAAGTCATGGATTAAATGAACTCAATGGACACATTAGAGGGATGGCCCACAGACTAAGGAAATGATAGCTCTGTGTATGTGTGTATATATATCTATCCATCTATCTATCAAAGACAGGAAAAGTGGTGGTGATTAACTGGAAAGTGTAGGATCTGGGAATGATGTAGATGGTATAGAATAAGGGGTGGATAATGTCCTGCATTTGATTAGGACAGGGTTAATTTTCACAAGAAGCTAGGAGGCGACACAGCCAGGATAGCTGACCCTAACTAGCCAAGGAGATATTCGATACCATATGATGTCCTGCTCAGTATATATACTGGGGGAGCTGGCAGGGGGCTGGGAGGAGGGATCGTGGCTTGGGAACAGGCTGAGCATCGGGTTCTGGTGGTGAGCAATTGCATTGTGCATCACTCGATTTATATATTCTTTTATTAGCAATTTCTTCTCCCCTCATGTTGTCCTGTTAAACTGTCCTTATCTCAACCCATGATTTTTTTTTACCTTTGTCTTCTGATTCTCCTCCCCATCCCACAGTGGGGGATGGGGGTGGGGGGTAGTGAGTCAGTGGCTGTGTGGTGCTTAGCTGACAGCTGGGCTTAAATGATGACAGATACACATGCCTTTTGTCAGTTTTTGGTCAGATAAATGGCAATATAGCAGGCAAACTTTACATTGGGAGCTAATCAATTTACGAAGTACCAATGGCCAAACTCCAATTTAAAGCTATGTAAGACCTTGAAGTGAAGGCACCAATGAAAAGTGAAAATGAACTGTAAGTACAAAAACTGAAATGGAAAAAATACCTGTGGGTTTTTTTTAATCTGCTGTGTCACCTGATTTGAAAGCTATGATTCACTAGAAAACACAAAGCCATCTGAGGGACTGCTGTTCCAAGTGTGAATTAAAAAGTGTATGATGTTTTTAATCATATAATGCACCTACATTACCCATCCTATGTTTTTTCAGTTTAATGAAGGAAAATGAAGCTTGCTGGGTTCTCACTCAGGTAATACAGATTTTAGTCGCTTTACATGGCCTGGCCTGCAACATCAAACAGTTGGGTTTATCTACTTTTTTATTATTATTATTTTATATATATACTGCTGCCAAGGACTGAAACAGGTATGGAGGGACCTTAAGCTGATCTGGAGAACCTATTTAGAGCTGATGTTGCTGGATTTCTTGATTAAAATTTCTTTAAAACAAAAGAAAGCAAAACACTATGGCTCACACACAACCTATGCCTGGAAAGGCAAACAGAAAAGTGCAGGATATCCACCCAGTGGGATAACAGAGGCAAAGCTTTCAGTGTATTATACATGTTCATATTAACAAGCAAAATATTTGAGGAAAGTAACTCTTGAAGAGTAGAAGCAACTAGGATCACGCAAGGAACATACACAAAGATACATACAAGACCTGATACACATTTACTTAAAATTCTGATGCTAGTTGTGACGCCCACTCTCACCTTGTACATATGGTCCTGTTTCAGGGTGTTCTCGGACTCGAAGTGTGTAAGGTTTCTTTCGGTCTGATTGTTTTAACAAATCTCGGACACGCTCATTATAGATTTCAAGAAAACTGAAAAGAAAAAAAAAAGAATGTTAAATATACACAATAAAAAAAAGAGAGAAAGCATATATTTAGACAATGTAGCTACCTGAATCTTACATAGATCTTTCATAATAAATTTAATTAATTCATTATTTCCATTATCTCTGTTACTGCCCCTTCCCATGCAGTGCACGTAGAAAGAACTCATAGTACCAAATTTCTAAGAAGCAAGAGGCATTCAGTATTTTATTTGAAAACTCAAAAAATATGCTTTTTTAACACCAGGGACTTCAAATCCCCAGTTTTCCAAACATAATGCTTCATTAGATCAATGGGAACAATTAATAAGAATGGAATGTAGGATTATGGCTCAAATTTAAGAGTTAAACAAACAGGAAGTAAATTTTTAATGCACTCCTATTTCAGCTGTCTATACAAAAGTGAACAGACAGCATCCCAAGAACTATACTGAGATGGAAAACTAAAATCAACACTTTCTCATTCTTCCTCTGTGTTCTCTCCCTTGTTGCAAAACGATATCATCTGAGAAAACAGAAACAAAATAAACTAGTCTTTACTTTGTTTGATTACAGGAACATGTTGCTGAAAGCATTCATAGCATTGCCCAAAACAGTGACACACTTACCTGACCTTTACTCTGCAAGATGCTGTCTGGTCTGAGTAATCATCCTTCCTTGAAAAGAGGCCCTGCACAAACCAGAAGTTTATGCAAATTTTAAATCCATCAAGAAAATCTAACTACTTGAACAAATGCAAGTGAAATAAAAAATAAGTACCTCACATATACGAGGTGTCAGCCCAATGGATGCCTTCAAATAATAAACAGAAAAAAAAAATTAAACAATATACTTGCTATTACTCTTGCAAAACTTATTTTTAAATAAAGGCCAAGTTATGAGAAAAGGACAGAATCATAGTGCAGCATTGAAGTAATGACTGTATGGTGGATTACAACACAAACTGCCCTGGAGTGCAGTTCAGAACAGCATGGCAATGCTCTACTACTCTAGCTGAAGCATCTTGCACATGAAACACTGCAGGGACTCGTGTGCTGTGTAATGTCAGCTGTCTTAGCTTCAGTGCAAATGCTATTTATAGCAAAAGTCATTTTAGAGCAACTTATACAGCATCAATGAGAAGTTAGAGGCTTGAGTTAAATCAAAGTACTGTCTGATGTAAAGACACTGGACATGCCTATGTCAGAGGTGTTGCAGTCTAGATGAAGCCAGGCCAACACTGAAACTAGCTTGACTGGTAATGAATATTTTGGTTTTTTGTTATTCTACTTTTATTTCTTCATGCTATGGCACTACAGAACAGGCTTGGAACAGCTTTATGTTCTAGATTTGTAAATCTGGTCTCTCAGACAGAATGCGATATGGGCTGCTAGCAGTACGCAAACTAGCTGATTTAAACTTTACCCAAATGGTCTACACAGCACTGACGTAATGGTGTGTTTTTGTGCGATGAACTGTTCTTATGACATGATTGCTTGCACTTCAGTGATTGCAGAGCCAACACACCCTGAGAAAGACTCTAAGGCTTTGGTGGAATCTGCTTGCTGAATAGCATTAAAGGCTTTTAGAAGGCAGACTTGAAATGGTGTTGGGGGAAGAAAGTCAAGTTCATCAGGTGGACCACTGTGGACAAAATTCAGTTTATACCAAACACTTGTTTCCACCTAGTTTTGAACACTGTTTCACAGTGAATACATGTTATTAAAGATAAGATCAAAGCAGGATTCCACAGAGAAAGAAATCACTTTATAAGCCAGAAATCTCTTAGAAACACTACACCTGGAAATTTCCTTGGAAATGAGGATAATTTCAAGATGTGGCCATTCTGAATTACTAAGATATTTTCAAAATAACATAATACAAATATCCTAGTTTGTCACCTATTAACCCCAATTTTAACAATTCTTCAGGCTTTCATGGAGTTAAGCTTGATTTTGCATCAAATGAATGGAGAATCAGGTAATGATTTAACAACATTCAATTGCTGATGTCTGTGGGGAAAATAAACTTTTAAAAATCCAAAGTCTTGTCAAAAGCACAAACCATGCCAGAATAGTCTTTTTCTTGTCTTTGGGGTTTGAACAATTTTTACCCTTATTTCACCTTAAAAATTGAATCCCATGGGTGTAGGAAATAGCGGCCCACGCGCACAAACTGTTAAATAATTTTTTTCTTATTTAGGGGCATGTTTCACCAACAGCCAAGAATATTTATGGATAGAGATCAAATTGCCTTGTGTTGCAGCAGAACACAGGAAATCCTCAACTGACCCCGTCGATCTGAGTACCAAGATTAAAATACACTTTAAGTGGTTCCTGGTAGACAAGAATCTTAAAATGTAACAGATTCTGCAGACACTATTCAAATACATTTCAAAACTGGAAGTAAAGCAAATATTAGTTTGCACAGGCCAAAGGATAACTTCTGCAACAAATAAATGTCTGAAGTAGATAATGAAGCCTGTTACAAAAGTATTCCTGTGCACTGTATCCAGGTTTTTTTGTGAAAGTAATTTAATTTCAGCATAGCTCAGACTGCCAAAAAATTCCATGAGAATGAATACTTTGTATTATCTTGAGCTATACATTTCTAAAAACGAGAACTATTCAGCGATATAGTTGGGGTTTTTTTTGTCCTCTAACATAGCGATAACATTCATACATAGCAAGATGAAGGTTATCTAAAATAAATATTTAAACTACATCATATTTTCTAGTACTTTTAGCTGATGCTACATTATTTATCTAAATGTAAATGCTTGACTCTCATTTGATATATATAAATACCAAATAAAATATGTATAAGCATTCTGCTGAACAAGCACCATAACCATGGTTTCAAAATAAAGCGATGTTTCTGCTGGACATCCCACCCTCGACCCTAAGTGTAAAACGAATGGTGTAACTCACAGGTGTTCCCATCATTGTGTAAGTTTTTCCTGAACCTGTCTGTCCATATGCAAAGAGGCAGATGTTGTATCCTCTAAATGCACCTGACAACACAGAAGTGCCAAGGTCCTGGAACACCTGAAAAGACCAAAAGAAACAAAACAGTCCATGAATAATATGCCTCCCTATAAACGCTCTGCATTACTTGTGGATATTGCAGCTTTAATAACTCCATGCAAAAAAAAGAATCTTCACAGTATTTGTCTTTCTAATTCATCAGACACAATGTTAAGTGCCCAGCATTCACTTGTTAGATCTTCCTCCAGATGGTGGTATGCCAAGCATAGTGCTGACACCAAGCAGTAGTGTTTAATTGTGCTTCCCTGCCTGCTATCTCTTATTTTATACTTAGACTGTATGAATTCTTGAGGATCTCCCCCACCCCAAGTTTTTACTGTCCTCAGCATATATCTGACGGAAAGGCATGATCAAGGCTCTTTGACACAATGACATTAATAGGAGCATTAGGCATCAGAATTACAGGTCAAAAGCAAAGCAAAGTCTAACCCATAGCCTGCAAGCAGACCTCACCCAAGCAATACTTAGATCTGACCTGTCTGGTCAGTAAGCCACACCACCAAAGGCTAAATGCTTTATTTTCTGTTCACGCCACACACACAGTGATGAGCCACCTTCTGCTCATCATAATGCAGAGCCAAGAACTGTTACCACCACATCAGTGTCAGCCTCTAGGGGCTTCCAAAGCTTGCGCTGGTCCCACTGTGGCTGCAAAAGTTGGACCATCACAGCCAGACTACCCATAAACAAGATCTGAACAGTCATTCCCTCTGCTTTTCCTGTTCCTTTTTTGGAGACACAGCTGCCCCACATTGTGACCATGTTCTCAGCACATCAAAGCCTTGCCATAGACCAGCTGAAAGGACACCTGGTAAGGTTTGCTAGGAAGTACATGATGGATCAAAAGGTTCCAGTAGGCAGGCTACCAATCCCTTAGTACAGCTGTGGCTTTTCAAAAAAAATGTTACAAGTATTAATGGTTTTGCCATTCACATAGAAAACTAGCTAGTATAGAGAGAGATGCATATGATTTCAGTGTTTCACTGCTGTGGAACCTCCTCCAGTATGAGGTCATTTGCTTCTCCAATGGATAGATAAATGCACTAAAACTGATATAAAAAATCAATAGTAAAATATATTTCATAGCTATCACCACTTTACCAAAACTGCCCAGAAAAGAGATTAAAAATCCTAAGACTTTTATTTTCAGATCATATTTCAACTGAAACTGAGACAAGATGTTAATTTCTGGCTGAAGAATCAGTAACATTCCCATTTGGCAGAATTTGGCTACTCTTGCCCATATTTCTAAGGGTATGTGGCATATCACAGCATCTGCTTCATTAGGATTATCAGATCAAGGAACTTTTCCATTCAAAGAGTAGCAGAGAAAGTCATAAACAAAACATATGGACACAAATGTAATAGACAAGGATAACAAAGATAGTGACAAACTCTCCAGTCACTACTGGACAGGCCATTAAGGAACTGAAGCATACCTTTGGAGAGGGCTAATCTGGACTTCATAACCAACAAGATGGGCAAAATAGGAGGAACAGGACGATTCGGCATGTTTTAGGGGGGCCTGCAGGGCTATGCAAAACTTATTAAGGAATGCTTAAAGTGAGGGTGTCAGGAAGAAGAAGGGGGTATAAAAGGGGCTGGTCCCATGTAAGCAGCAGCAGATCAGTATGCTTGCCTGACTGAGCCCTGTGCCTGATCACCACAGTCTGTCCTATTTTCTTATTAAATCCTTTCTTGATGATCTTTCCATGTAACCACACTCTCTACCCCATGTGTGAGTGCTGTAAGGACTAGATGCCAGCAGCTGGAGTGAATTTGGGGCCAGCAATGGAGTCAGAAGACCGCAGGTGATAGGGCCATCACATCAGTGGTGCCAGCAAACAAAGCCAGTGAGAGTCTCAGTGTTGGTAGCTGGCATGGCATGTAGTAGGAGTCTAAATGCCAGCAATTAGAGCAGGACTATGTGTCACAGGGACTATGTCCCAGCTACTAGGGGAACTGGAGCAGTGTGAGCATCTCTGTCAGCAGCTAGAAAGGGACCGTGGGTCCCAGGGCCTGTGTTGCAGGTGCCAGCTACTGGAGTGGCTTAGGTGAAGCAAATGAGGGTCTCGGCATCAGCACCTGGAGCAGGGAAGCACCACTCACAGGGCCTGTGTGCCAGCTACTGGCATGGAGGGTGGGGGGCAGAGAGGGGGCTGGAGTGCCAACATGCATCAGCATGGGGGTGTGTAATTTGCGAACAAACTTCAAACTGGACAAGCTGATGAGCAGGAGGTCCAGGGTCCAGGCAGGAATATTACATGGGAGTAGAGCCTATGCTGATAGTCAAGGGATTCAGGGCAGGGGTGCTTGTGAGCATATGCATATTTGCTAGTGAGCAGCAAGTTGGGCTATCACGCAAGTAGAAGACCTGTAGAGCAGTTGAGAGGGCTCAGGGTCCAGGCAAGGTTATTCGATAGGCACAAGGCCCGTGTTGGCATTTGAGCGATCTGCTCTCCAGCCCTGGAGAGCAAGGGGGGGTTGTTTTTACTATCAAACTTCAATCCTGATCAGTTGGATAGGAAGAAGGGGACGTGGCTGTCTACGCTTATGTTTCATGTGTGTGCTGGCAGTGTTATACGTGGGTGTTGTTGAAGGCAGTGACTTCTCGGGCCATCTGTGTAGGCAGTTGTATCGGTGTCCTGCGTCCTCTATCCTTGTCAGTGTTTGTCGTTTTGGCATACACACTGAGACTAACTATTGGTTGAACTTGCAAAGGGGAGAGCAGCTGCCCTGTCCATTAGGGTGGGATGGAGAGACCTCCAGGTGTCCAGGCACAGAGGGCTGGCCTCCAGGGACTGGGCAAGAGGAATCCCCAGGTCCTGGAGTCCACAGGAGGCAGTGGCCTTCCACATGCCTTCACTGTATCACGTTTATTATCGGGAACAACTTATCTAAGGTCTTGAATAATTAGATCAAAGCCAAAAGTCCAGAATATACACTGAGAACTAGTAGTTCATTTGCTGCACATCTGGCTAGCAATTCCTCACCAAGCACAATATGCCATAAAAAGGTCAACTTTTATGGATAGGGAGGAAAAAGAAAGCAATAGTATTAGCAAAACAAATCAATGGCACATAGTTGATGAACGAGTGAACAACTAACTGACATATTACCATGATGGTTAAAAGTCATGCTGAAGAGGCCAATCTACCACTTTCACCTAATAAATAAACATTGCCCAAATTAAAAAAAAAATATTATCACAATACTTTTACAAATATCAGTATATAGAGACATGGATACACATTATTTGCCATCACAAAGGTTTAGAATCTGTATAAAGAAGCCAGGAGTGCACAAAAAGAGAAGGGGCTTAAGAAATTAATAGTAGAGAAGAAAGCTACTGAGAAGCACTTGGAAATGTCAATTTTAAAGTGATACTATGGAACAAAAGTGCATATTTTAAGAGAAGACGAGAAAAGGGAAGTTTACACCCAGGGATTTTAATAGCCTGAGTGTTAGCATCAAAGAGGGCTAGGCAAAAAATTGAAAGACAGCTAAGCAAGCTATACATTCAAAGCACCAGGCAAAAGAAAGATGAAAAAACAGAGCAACAATTACAAAGCAGTTTCTGAACACTGTAGACAAGGAGGAAAAGTTGTTTGATATGGTAAGGGGAAAAGGAAGTTTCATTCTTCCAGTGGCAGAACGGGTTTACCACTAGAAACCTCTCTCAGAGCCATTACAAAAGTGGTGCTTCTGTTACCCACTTCAGATATAAATGTTCCTGATTCCACAACCAGAACTGAGAGAAAATTGTTCCTTATAAATCAAGTACATACTGGAAATTATAAGATAAGATCATAGGCAGCACTTTGTCCATGAGACTTGCTTTCTGAGTTGTGGGAAAATGTAACTGCAGGGATTAGGCTGGGGGTTGGGTTTTCTTGGAGGTTGCTTGTAGCAGTGTTTCAACATCTGTTTTTACTTATATCCCTTCATCTATGGGAGCCCCACTTAAAAGTAATAATTGAATAAATGTATAAAACTGTGCAATTAGCCCTGTTGCTTTTATTTTACTCAGTGGGATTCAGTGGGTCTGACTGCAATGGGATTTCTTAGATGAAGAAGGTCTGCAGAAGTTGGCCCTGTATTTGTTTCAGAGTTCATTTTTATGACATGTTCTGAGTTTTCCATTGCTCCTGATTTACTGTTTTTTTAGTAACCTGATTGCATTTGGCCGCATGTAGACAGTATGCAATGTATCCCTATCCTGTCCCAGCATAGTTCCTGCTTCTGAACTGAGAGTTGCTATTTGTTCCAGTGATTCAGCAATAGTCATGTCAAACTTCTAACTAAAGAGACTGCCACAGGTAACAGCCAGAGCTGAACAGCACACTATATTTGACCATAAGCACATTGCTGTTTTAGAGTATGGTGATAAACATAGAGGAAGCTACATGCTAAACACAATGATTGTGAAGTTTCTCCTTTCAGTAATACTGATGCACTCCCTCTAGTCTCAGTGAAGAAAGAGGTCAGCCCCATATTTACAACATCACTATAACAGATTAATCTGTTTTAATTCAATAAAGATATTTAGGAAAGCATCTGAGCATTAACAGCAGCAACGCAAATCACTGTAACCGATTCTTGGCAGGTATCATCAATCAATGCAGGAAGTAAGTCAAGTAACTTGACATTGTACATCAAGCCTGTACATCAGTCTCATGAGTTCAGAAATCTGTTTAATCCCTTACAGTAAATCTGTACACTGACCAAGGCAAAATCAGGAGCTCACAACTCCAATGAGCATGCAGGCCAATGAAGACTCACCAGTTACACCAAACTGCAACTAGTGGCTTTATATGTAATCCCCATCCTCTTGTGCCACCAGTGGAGATGCATACAAGCCTTGCACCAAATACCACAGACTGATTCTCAGCCCTGGCAGGCCACGAAGAAATTCCCTGTAATTTAAATCTGTGTAATGAACTGCATGTCATACAGCCTTTTAAAAGATGGAAGAATGGCACCCTCTTCCAAATGTCTTT